GGGGCAAACAGGTGGGCACCAGTTATTGGTGAGAATATCACATTTATTGTTGCTAATACAGTCAATAATGGCATCTGTTCTTGCTCTGTGGCACTGAGAGATGCTCTGCCTGTGCCCTGCCTTGTGCCAGCTCCAGCAGGAAACTTCTCTTGCTGCTCTGGGTTTGGCTCCAGGTCAGGACATCCAAACCCCGCGGAAGGGGTCGGAGCAGCCATGCTGGGATTGCACTCCTGCAATCCTGGAGCCAGAGGATCCTGTCCTGGGAGCCCAGCAGAGATTCCTGCAGATGCAGTCAGGGTGGCTCTGCCCCTCAGCCTTGGGAGCCTTGGAACCTTTCCTCTGGAAGTGGTGTAAATTCACTGATTATTCCCAGGAAAGATTTTGAAGTAATCTCAACGGAGTGAAAGGTCACTAAGCAAGAAGGGCATCACTCTCCCAACTGGATAATTAAAAAGAAAATTAGAAAGTGTGCTAAGCTGAGATTGACTTGTGGCCATGCTTTGAAGATTAAAAGGGCTCTTTTCATTTCGGATGCAGGAGGTTGAGATTGGTGGGAGGAGGAGTTGTGGCTGCCGAAGCCGTTGGGCCATGAATTACTGAGCTGTGAACGAGATCCCAGGATCACTGACCAAAACTATGGATAGCTGCTCTTTCCCCCCTCCAGTTTTTAAAGCATTTAGTCTTGCTGCTGGAGTTTTCAGCCTGGCTGCTCACTGTGTAATGTGGGGTGATTTTTAGACATCCAAGCAAATGATATATTGAGTGAAAAACTATAAACGAATGATTTGGCATAGAAGAATTTTGCCTTTAGAAAATTAAAGTAACAGCAGCTCTGGCTAAAGGGTGGGACTTCCCATGTTCTTTGCACAGCCTGCTGGATTTTTCTGTACAAGAGTTTAGCCCACCCTTTTGAAATTATTAACAGTCACAAAAACAGGGAGAGAAAGCTAAAATATAAGTGTGCAAGCTAACTGGTAACTGGTGTGTCAAATTTGGCCATGTTTTCCTGGGCATGGAATGGGTTGGGGCGGGAGAGACCTCAAAGCCCGTGCATCTCCCACTATCCCAGGCTGCTCCAAGCCCTGGCCTTGGGCACTTCAGGGGTGGGGATTCCGGGAATACATGAAGGTAATGATGTGTTCAGGGTAGTCTGGGAATACATGAAGGTAATGATGTGTTAAGAGTAATCTGGGAATACATAAAGGTAATGACACGTTAAGGTTCTGCTACCTCTACCCTGCTCTGTTGCCCAGGCTTTGCCTCTGTCTTTCCTTCGAAGACAAAGGATTTGAGCTTTTGCCTTTAATTGCAGGAATACCTGGAGCACCAGCAAAGGAGTCTGATTTAGTTTATGAGCAGGGTGAATAGAGTAACAGGTCCCAAAAAGCTCATTCCTTCTCTGGGAATTTTGGAAGTGTTTTGATTTGTGCCTGTGCAGTGCAGGGCTTTGGCTTCACTATTCTTTTGTTGTTCTTTCTTGACAATGATCCCTTATTTCTTGCCCAGAAGTCAGCCATGGGTGTTCTTAAAGGCACTTCCATCTTGTAATTACCTTTTTACACAGAACTCTGTGTCTGCTTTGATGTACACCTCAGATCCTGAGTTCTTCTTACATGTGTTTAAAAATACACTGTTGTAGGAAGAGTTCTAATACTTTGATAATATAGGCTGTAGATGAGTTAGGGATTTAAGAACAGAATTTTGGCCACAAAGTATTGCATTGTCCTGTTGGAAATGTGGGGTTCATTTGCCATGAATTGCCCCAAGGTGTCCTTTTTCTAGGAGAGAGGGATTTATGGGTTCAGCCAGGTACAGCCTGAGCAGGAGCCAGGACTGGGCATTGCTCCCTGAATTACCTGGGAAGCTTTCAGAGCAATTCCAGTAATTCTTGGTGTCGATTTGAGTCAGTAGTGGGGAAGAGCAGTACATGTTTTCATATTACAGCAGATCTTCTGGTAACTGCTTTTTCAAGGAATTCATAATTCAGTGAATTTATAAACATCACTCTAAGATCAAACTTAATAGCTGAGGCTTTCTGCTGTTCCCACTTGTGGGTGGAAGTGGATCTATTTATTAGACTTGTGTGTGAAGCTATTTTCTGTTTGCTGTGTTATATGTGAGGATGTTCATGGGAGGCTGCTGATTAAATAAGCTGATCTAAAAGATCACATATTTGCTGTGGCTTTGGGAAGAAGAATACTTAAATTAGGAGATGGCTACAGAGATGTAGTGAGGGGGCTCATTGAACTGTCAGAAAGGAGGCCTCCTCCACCTCAACTTCTGGGTGAAACAGGATGTTCTTGCAGGGAAGCTGTGCCTCTCCCTGAGCACTGCTGGCACTGAGTGACTGCATCCCTCTTCCTTTTGAGTGTTTTTTGTGTTCTTACTGAAGGTTCAAGAGGGGATTGCTTACCAGGTGTTGCATTATTGTGGTTTTGGTGATGGGACCATAACCATTGTGTGCCACCCATGTGTAGGGAACTTCAGAGAAGGATTTTATCCTGCCTGAGTGCTGCAAAACTGCAGAGAATAAATCCTCTGAATAAATATTTCAACTCAGAACATTGTCAGTAGTTTACTCATGTGTGTCCAAGCCCAAACAGAATTTGGCTGGAGCACTCGGAAGTGTTGGTTCAATCCTTAGACTGAACACTGAGGTGTCTGAGAATAAGGCAGAAAATTGGGTTTTCTTGTAATAATCAAAGTGAACTCCTCCTAGGAGTAACATTTCCAAGCCGTAGAAATGCTTCCACCAGTTTGCATTTCAGACATTAAGCAGGTAATAAAAATGATGAGTAGCTGTGTCGGACCATCATGACCAAGCTCCCCAGGCTGAAGCGAGCGAGACAAATGCTCTGCTCTGATTCCCCTCCCACAATAAAGTGCAGCCACACACAGCTCCCAGCTGGTTATTCCCGCCTGGCTTCCACACAAGTTCAGTTTGGAACTTGAAGCTGCACTGTGAAATATTCCAGTGCTTGAGAGAGTGGAGTTTCATTTCGAATTAGTATTCTCCTGGAGTGTCACAGTGATTCCAGTCCCTGTTCGATGCAGGGAATTGTAACCCAACAACCCACGCTTGGATCTCTCCCGACATCAATCTCTCCCGACATCAATCGTGGCAGCTGGGATTGAAGTGGAGGTACCCACATTAGCAGGTGATTTATTTGGATTTAGTGTAAATGCAGAGTAATCAGAAATAAACTGTTCGAATGATGAAATTCTCCACTCACTGGTGGTGAATTTTGGAGCGATTAGTTTTAATTGCAAGGTAAATAGACAAGTCTTTGATTGCATACTTTAGAATTTTAATTGCACTGAACTCAATTATACTTTGAACTAAGATATTCAGGGCAAGAAGTATTTGAGTCACTGGCATTATTTAATCCAACTATTAAAAAATAGTTGGGATTAAACAATAGTTAGGCATTGGAGTAAAAAAGCAGATGGCTTACTTCTTTCAAAACCTAAAGTTTTCCTCTTGCCATTGATCACTCTGTCCTGTAGCTCCCTGTGAACACATCAAATGTCTTGAATCTAAAACAATTTCTTAAAAAGTGTTAGAGATGAGTGCTCTTCAGCCAGTCTGGGTACAGCAGTTGGTCTTCTGTGGTCTTAAGGTTTGGTGATGTTTGTGTTATGGGCTCTAAGATTTCTTTACGTTGAAGTTAAGATATTTCTGTTTGTGAAAACATTTGGAATTCAGAAGGAAGGAGGAAAGGAAAGGCTCTAATACTTGGAAAAGGAGCGAACGGAGGGGGAACCTTTTCATTATCTCCTTGCAGCGGGGATTAAAGGCTGGAACATGCTGTGGGTTTGTGCGCGCACTGCTTAAAGGAATCGCTGGAGATCCTTGGATCGCTTCCGTGGATCTGAGCGAGGGATGAATAAGGAGCCTTGCACGGGAAAGACGTCAGCTCTCAGTTAACCCTGCCCTGCTCAGCTTCTCGCTGCGGGACCGAGCACATCCAGCCCGGGCCAGTGGGCGGCGGTTCCGGCTGTGACTTGTGCGAGGCTGCCGGGGGGTTCTGGATGGAACCGGGGGGGCTGGATGGACTTGGGGAGCTGGATGGAGCCAGGGGGACTGGACAGCACTGGCAGCCTGTCCCTGCCTGCACACACTGGGGTATAAAAAGGGCATTTCAGGTACAGTGAGCTCATCCTTGTGCCCTTGAGCTCCGCACTCTTGGCCCGGTCTCAGTTGGGTGCAAGGGGTGGAGTTGGTGCTGGTAAACTGGGGCAGAAGCTGCTCCCGGGGTGCTGCTTTGTGGTGGCCTGTTCTGGTTATGGCTTCAGTATCAGTTGTAGGGTGATGGGTCTCGTTAATCCTTTGGAAAGGGAAGATGGGGATGAGTAACTCGGTGGCAGCTGGAGGCAGGGCTGTGATGTGACAAGTTACAAAGTGATGTTCGGGAGTGTAAGGGCAGCCTTAGGCAGCGCTGTGCTCCCACAGAAGAGGAGTGGGGCAAGGAGAGAGGAGATCCATAGGAAGCAATTCTAGAATCCTAGAATTGTTTTGGTTTGAAAAGACCTTCAAGATCAGGTCCAACCATTAAGCCAGCACTGCCATGTCCGCCACTAAACCACGCCCTGCATGCTACATCTCCATGGCTTTTATACACCTCCAGGGACAGGGACTCACCCACTTCCCAGGGCAGCCTGTTCCAGTGCTTGGTAACCCTTTATTTATTTCTTGTTGGCTTTGTTGTTGTTTCAAGTCTTTCACTTCTTCTCCTGTGTCCCTTTTCCATCTCACTTTGCCCTGTGCCCATCATTGTTACTCAGCGTTTTCCATGGGGGAAGTGGATAAGCCCAGCATGACTCCTGGTGTGTTTCAGTTCTCAGTGAGGTTGTGGATCACTGACCTTTGTTTTAGGGAAAGACCTCTATGATCTGGGACCTCTGGAAAATGTGTCCAGTTGCTGATAAAAACATGCCTGTGCAAGTTGCACAAGGGAGGCTCATGGAAAAACACTCGGAGAAAAGCCCCATCCTGATTCCAGCTGCTGCAGCCAGGCATGTAAATATTTGTGCCAGTTGTGTTTGGAGGGCTCTGGCTGGGTGTTCTCCCTGTGAGTATTCTCTGGAGTTTGTGGCCAAGCTGAAGCTCCCAGGCCGGGCTGCTTTGCGTAAGCCCGGCGGAGGCGTGGAGTAAGGGGGGAGTAACCGGGGAGTAGCCAGAGTGTCCAGGGCTGCCTCCTGCCCCGCCTCGTGTAACCGTGGGCTGGGACTGGGCACGGAGCAGTTACACAATGGGGAAGTATAAAAAGAGGGTAAAAGTGCTCCTGGGGGATGGATGTCTGCATCCTCCAGGCTGCTGTGCCCTCGACTGCAGGAGCTGCCTCCGAGAGCTTGGTGCAGGTTTGCCTTGGGATTCACAGCCTGGTGGGGATGATTGCAAAAATTCAACTGAATTGTTGCCAGCAGTATGAAATAAGAAATTTAAAAACTTGTGTTTGCAGGTGTTAATAACTAACTTGCTGTATCTTAAAGGATTTAAGGATTTGAGGATTTAATTTCTTATTTTAAAATTGCCATCACTGTAAAAAGAGATATTTGCTATTTCAAAAGTATTTGCTCTTTTATGTTTATCCATAAACTTTGCATGGGAAAAAATTATATATTTATGTAGTAAAAGAGATTTTTAAGAAAGCTTGAGTGCAAAAGTACAGCATCTTAGTTAGTTTCTGTATTAATTCCACATCCTAATCAGTTATGCTAAATGGAAGTGAAGTGTTTCTTTCCAGACAAGCCTAATAGATAACTCAGTGTAAAACTTTGCAAGTGTGGGATCAGTTGCTAGGTTTGTATTGATTACTGGAGTCAAGCTGTTCTCTTTCCAAAGGAGCCACAGTAATGCTCAGCCTTTGGGAAGGAGCTTCACATCCAGAGCTGAAAAATTGGCATGTTACCTCGATTTACTTAATAAATGGAATTTTTCCTAGATGAGTCTCTAACTCCACCTTTGTTTTAATGTGATTAAAGTCTTGGAAAGAAGGGAGCTTTCATCAAAGTGCCAAGTCCCAGTACAAAGCAGGCTGAGAAAGGACCCAGTGTGAGCTCAGGTTGCTTTGAGGGCCGTGAAGGAGCTTAACGAGCTGTGTATTAATATCCGTAATAACGGGGAGGTATCAGAATGCCCAAATTATTAAGTCTCCCCAGGGAGACTGTAAGGACTCCATAGCATTCTAAATCAAATTACTGTGTGCCATACACTGCGAGGTGTGCTGAGCTCCTGTGAACGAGCAGTGAGACAGGATTTAATTTTTATTTTTCCTGAGTCTGGAGAGCTCTGCAGGTGTCAGTTCCCAGCAGGGCTGTGCTGCTCTGTGTACAGATAACGAGCTGGAAATTGCCATCTCCCACCTTCTGCTTGCACTTCTTTGGAATTTAATTCTCCCATGTCCTTTTCTCATCCCTGTCCACTGGTGGGGTCCCCCGGGAGGGTGGCAAATGCACTGCACAGAATTCGGGCTAAACTGCTGCTTTTTGGAATAAGAAAATGGGAGTAATGGGGTGAAAGATGAGTAGGAATTGCTTGGCCAGCAGTGTTTTGATCAAACACCTTTCAGGGTGACTGATGCTGGAAACACTCGGATTTCAGCTATTCTAGTTTAGAATCACAGCCTAACTAAGCTCTCAGTTAATAACTTGACTCACCAAACTTGTAGTTTTTGAAAGCTGTGAGATCCTTTGTTAAACCTCTCATTCAGCTGGATTTAAGTCGCCTTCTCAACGAGCTCATTCACACAGGAAGTTAATGAGATTGAGCTAATGTGCTTTAAATACACGAAAGGTTTGAGCTCGGCATAACTTTCCTGCTTAGCTGTGTGTAGACTTGCCCTAATAACGTTGGTCAGTTATTAAAGCACCGTTCTGGATGGCAGTCAAAATACCAACTACTTAAAAATTCATGAGTGCCTCCAAAGAAAGAATATGTTTGTGCTTTGAAGAGCTACTTTGAAGCGAAGAGAGAAGCTTCTTAAAGTACCCATCAACACTTTTTAAAACCTAAACTGAGTTTTGTAAAACTCAAATGTTAGGAAGTTTGGATGTTTAGCAGCATTTTGTTTGTCTCTGCTGCAGATGAAGACGAACTGGGTGGTATTAGGTTAAATGTGGAGTCTGCTTTTCTACAGTTGTGGATGTGGTTCAGTGGAGGAGGGAAATCTCTGGAACATTTAGGATGTGGTGGCATTTCAGTGCAGCTTCAGTTGATGGGAAGGAACTCGAGAGGCCCCTGCTAAAGACAAATCACGAGTTCCTGGGACCAAAGAGCTCCAAACAGCCCCAGAAAAAAACTCGCTCTAAGACTGAAGCAGGAGGATGGTTTTTACAAGTAGCAAGAGAAAATTAAGTGTGAGTTCTGGGCACCTTCTTCACACCTGTGAGGTGATGAAAATGCTCTGGAAGGCAGAAAAAAAGCCTTTTAGGCACTCCCTGCATATGTGGACAGTGGGTGGGACCTCACAGGTGCCATATCCAGGCACAGATCTGGGTTTAACAGTGTGAAGCAATTCGACTTGTGGTTGTGGTTCTGCAGACAGGACTGAGATTGCATCGTTTAAGTACTTACCGGGCTTTTTAAACCTCGGCGATGAGATATTTATGGAATTTTTTTAACTGGAGAGAACCTTTTTCCCAGGAGAACATCCAGCACCCTCTGAGTAGCAGAGTTGGTGCTCTTTTGGTGGCTTGTAATTTGGTCCTTAATATTTGAAAACTCCTTGGTAAAACCCTTGTTTCATTTCCAGCAGGTTCTCAGAAACAAGTAACTCAAATGTCTATTTATTCTAGCTGTGAAATAGGTATGGACAGCTGTGCAGGCTGAAGAGGGAAAAGGGGAACTGTGTTTTAAGGTTCTTCTGGTATTAAAACAGTAGAAGAATGAGAACACTGATAAATCCAGTGCCTGGAGCTGATGCACAGCAGACAAGGTATGGCTAATAACAAAAATAGGAGATTTGGGGTTTTAATACCTTAATGGCACAAAATCAATGCACAAGTTTTGTGAGGTTGTAGCTAGAGCCAGTGGGGATCTGGAGAAAGGTGCAATTCCATAATTAACTGGGAATTGCCTTGCTTTTGTGTGGAATTGTGTGTCTGGCCAGGCACAGCCCTGCTCTGTGAGCAAACTTTGTCTGCTTGGAGCCTCTACAGCGTTCCTGAATTGTCTGCACTGCTGGAGCACTCCCGTGTCCCTGAGCAGTTTGGTGAAGGGTTCTTGGCAAGGAATTCCTTTCACAACTTCCCTGATCTCTTGGCATCCACCCTGTCCCTTCTGCAGCTCCCTGGCTACTCCAGTGCCAGTCCCAGGCTCTCCCTTCTCTGTGTCTCTCTGCCCATGGCAGCTCTGGTCCTCAGGGCTGCTTTGGTTTCTCTGTGACTTCTCCTGGAGAGCGGGAGCCTAAAGGGGCTTTTTTACCCCAAACCAAGTAAATCTGGTGTGTTTGTTACTGGCTTGAATTTTTCACAGCTGGAACACTGCAGGAACTGAAATTTTGCTTTAGCCTCAGCTTCTGGTGGGTCCTTCCCACAGCCTTAAACCTGAGCAAGTGGGGTTAAAGCTGGTTTTATCTTCTGCTCAGACTTGGTGCATGTAACAAGAAAATAGTATGCAGGGAGTCCAAATCCCTTTCCACGTCTCTGTTGTGTGTCTGCTGCCAAAAATACAATCTCAGACCTAGAGGATGCCTTGATTTGTGTTAAAACACATCATGTGTCCAAGTTCCAGAGGTGCCAAACACTTGGAAGTGCCATGGGAGGTGGTGAAATTCCAGAGGCACCTCAAGTGGGACAACTTCTGGCTAAGCATCATCTCTGCTTGCAGGAGAAAGTTGGTGTGTTCACGTGAGTCTGACAGCTAATTAAAATAATAAATTGATGATGGTAATTAAGCAGTGACCTTAATTTGATTCTAATCTTCTTAGTGTGTGCAACAGCCAGAGTTTTTTGGCTCTTCAGCCGTTGGTAGCAGGCAGGAAGGTCCTGGCTGGCTGTGCCAGCACTCCTTCCCTGGGGAGCTGTGACATGGCTGCTCCATCCCCAGCTGCTTTTATCACCACACTTGTTGTGATAACTTTACAGATATTTCCCCTGTGCAGCAGGGAAGGGCCACCAAATACAGGCCAGTCCCTGATTTTCCACAGGGTGGGGAGGAGAGGCCCACAGGGACTGACTGGGGACTAGGGATTGTCTAAAGGGACAGGGAAAGCCTCAAGGATTTTGGTTGGCACTGGGTGGCGGGCTCCCCTCAGCTGAGAGAAATTTAGAATCCAGTTGGAATTCAACCTTCTTGGTTTTAGAAGGTTTTTTGGTTTGAGTGTGGCATATAAGGATATACACAGAGCTGCTGGAGATCCTTTCACTTTGGAAAACCTGTAATTTTTAGGGGCTGCAAGTCATGGAGGAGCCTGAGCTTCCTCCAGAGGGTTAATCTCTAGGTCTGCTTATTGCAAATGAGCTTTACAGCATTGCCATGTCCTGAGCATGACCTGCTGCCCAGTCCTGGTGCTGCCAGCATCTGACAAAGCCTTGACTCTTCTAAGAAGAGAAGTCCAAAAAAGCCCCAAATCAACCCAAACTAAGAGCCCCAAGAATTTGTCAGTTGCCCAGGAATGTCACAGCCTGGAGGTCAGGTGGGTTTTGTTTTTCCCAGTCATTGCCTTGCCAAGCTCTGGATTCAAATATTAATGTTGAATTAATGTTGAAAGCCCTCCCAGTGGGCCTTCAGCACTGTAGGGAGGAATTGCCATGCCAGTAAATCTGATCTAGGCAATACTTTTGGGGCGGTTCAGCCAAAACCTATATCCAGTGCTTTTAAAGGAAACAGTGCATGCAAGGGAGGTGTCTGCATTCCGTTGCCTGCTCCTTTGTGGGTTCATGGCCAGTTTTCCCTCCCATGGCAATAAGCTCTTTATGTCTTTCTGCACCTTCTGTCCTGCCCAGGTTAACCCTTGGATCTACTTAAGAGATGAACTTTGAAAGGATTTTTTACTGACTCACAGGCAGGTGGGTACCTTGTGAAGTGGAAGCTTTTTGTGCAGCTTGTGGTGGCACTGGGACAGATTTTCTTGTAGGAAAACCTTTGTGCTCCTGTGGATGTCTTGTATTTGTGGTGGAGGTTCCAGAGCAGAGATTTGCAGGAAGAAAAAGAACATTTAAACTCAGTCTTGCATTGTAGATCTCCATATCTCTGATGGGTTTTATCTTCTTTCCATGAGCTTTGAAATGCATCCTGATTTGTTTAAACGAAATAGCAGCGACTTTGGCAGAAGGGAAAATGTGGTGGGTGGTCCTGGAAGCGTGAGAAGGTGATGATGTGTCAGACCAGACACTGCCAACTCTTCGTGTCCTCTCCTGATGGCTCCTGGGCTGGAGGGAGCTTTTTGCTGGAGAAAAGGCGCAGGGCTTGAAGGTGCAGAGTGGCTTTTCCCTGGCCAGGCGGCTTTTCCTCCTCAGCTTGCACGTGGGCTATCTCCTGCCCTTTGTCTAAACCTTATCTCCAGCGCTGTAAACCCTGGCAGCTCTTGGCCTTCTGTGTTAAACACACGTGTGCACTGGAGGTGTACACTCGGTGTGGAAGGGCGAACTTTAATCAGTCCTGACAGAAATTTCACTTCCAGCCTTTCCACTTGATCCCAGCCTGCAGGTGATGGGTTGTACTGAGTGTACCTGCCTGATGCTGAAAGGGTTTTATCTCTTTCTCCAGGACTTTTCAGCTCCTGAGAAGCTGGATTTGCCCTGGAGGGCTGTAAAAATGCCTGAGTCATGTGGTGGGACACGGGGGGCTGATAAGGAATGATCTCTCCCAGATAGCTTTAGGCAGCAGCAGAGTTTTATCTACTTCTTTTTGACACTCCTGATTGCAGAATCAAAGCATTCCAGAAGTCTCTTGATGATCATCTGTGCTGCTAATTTTAATTGCTGGGTAGAAGCAAGAAGAGCTGGGAAATTCATTCTCCTGGCTTTTCTTGGACCAGCTCCTCCTAACACAAAGCCTGCCTCTCTTTAGGAAAAGCAGCAATGAGAGGTTTTTTGCCTGTGAATTGGGAGTTGCCTGTTTGGGAATTGTTATTTTAGCTCCATTGTGTCAGCTCTCAGCAATCAGTTGATCCAAGGCAAGCTCTGCTGCTGTCCTGCTGGAATTCCCAAGAATAATTCCCAAGCAGTGATCCAGGCCTGGAGAAGACAGCTGCCCTGGTGTTGTGCAGTGCCCAGCAGAGCAGGATTACAGAGTCTTGTCTTTTCTCTCTGGAGATGCTGGTTAATGCCAGCTAAGCAGCTTAGGGTGCCAGAGCACCTTAGAGCAGCAAATCCTGTGACTGGCAGCTTCCCTGGCTCCAGATTTATTGGCCCTGGCTTAGGGAGGTGTCCTGCTGCCCTTTCCCTTCCCAATCCCAGAGGATAAAGCTGCCAGACTAAACCTCGCCTGTCTCCATCTCTGATTTTCTTGGAGCATAAAATACATCTGCAATGACAGAGAAAGGCAGATTCTTTTCTCTTTGTTCTTCTGTACTAGGAAAAAAAAAACCCAAAACCCCTTATTGCTCTACAGTGAAAGCAAACAAAAAACCACTCCAAAAATCCCAGCCCAGAACCCCAGTGCCCCCAAAGCTTTAACCTTTAACCAGTGCCTGTCTTCTCTCTGCCCTGAGCTGCACTTTGAAGTGGAGCTCTGTGGTTATTGTGAAAATGGGAATGACAGGTTTTTTCCAGAGCAAGCCAGTGAGTATTCAAACCAGCCTTCCCTTTCAGTCTTCAAGTGAGAAATAATTATATGCTACCTTAATATTTACCCTCAAACAAATCTTAACACTGGTTTGCAGGCACTGTCTTCCATCCCATCTTGATTTAATTAATGCTTCAAGGGATCTCAGTGCCCAAATCATCTTTTTTATGTAACTTTTCAGGAGATACCTACATTGATTTAAAAGAGTTAATATTTCTTTCACCTCAAGGAACCAGAATTTTCCAGCAAATGGACAATTAACAGCTATTAAGAGGTTCTAAACTATTAGTATTCATATATTAGTACAGTCCTGAATTGCCCTCAGCAGAAGAGTCTTTCTCAAGTTCAGTTATTATTGCAATTACAGTAGACAGGAGCTGCTGGCATTTCCTGAGCAGCATCTGGAAGGGAGACTTTAGGAAAAACCCAAGTTCTGCTTCTTTTCTTCCCATCCAAACGTGTGTTTGTGAGTGTCCATGAGCTGTTTCCAGCTCAGCTGAACTCGCTATTAACTTGCATTTGGAGTAACACCAGTGTGAGTGGGTTCTGCTGCTTGGATGGATGCAGAAAATTCCACTTTTTGTGGCTTTCAAGAGACCATTTTTCAGGTTCTGTCCTGTACTTTCACCTGTACCTGACCTGGTTTCACCTGCAGGTGTTGGCAGCTGCAGTCTCTGTTTAAAGCTCAGTAACCACAGGTTGCAAAACTTGGTTTGCTGCAGGATTTTCTGTGCTGTCCTGTGGGGAGTTTAGGTTCAAATGTGTTAATTCCTGCTCTTTTCTCTTGGAAATGGAAAATATGGGATGACAGGGGACTGACTGGTCTGATTTAAAGAGCAAATGTGGGAAAACTGTACTGTAGTGACCCATCTGGGAGAACAAAAGAGACCCACTGAGGGGTCTGATCTTTCCTGTGCCAAAAGAGAAGTGAAACTCATTAAAATGCAGAGTTTATCCACAAACAGTTCCTTCAGCATCCTCGGGCAAATTACTTGGAATGTTCTTCATACAGCTGAGAATTTGGGGATAATTTTGGGTTAGGATGTTCAGCAGAAAGGGCTGCTTCTGTGTGAAACAAACTCACTGAAAGGCAGGTGTGCCTCACTGTCCATCCAGTGTGAGCTTCCCAGATGCTTTTTATTTCAAAGTAACTTTGTTTCAAAGAAAGGATTTCAGTAATACAGAGGTAAGGTAACCCTGGAGCAGCTCTGCAAATTCACCCTCCTTGGAGAAGCCCAAGTCTCCTTTGTGGTGGATGTTCAGCTGTTCTGCACTGCTCTGTGCCTGGAGTTTGTTCCCAAAAAGTTCTGTGGAAATGGCTGTGAGATTAGTAGTATATCGAAACCTTAGATTTTTTCCAATGATTGCAAAATACAGGAGAAGAATGAGAGAATAATCAGAGTATTCCCAGTATGAAAGAATTTCAAATATCTTGACTGATAATTATCAGGGAGGAATGATGAGAGCTGGTGAGTCACAAGCACAAAAGGGAGCCCAGTCGGTGGGGCTTGTGCTTTTGCACATCTGTTTTAGGGAATAAAAAAATCTCAATTTCTGCCTTCCCTCCTAGGAGCTGTTGATGCAAATGACACCCTGATGTCCCAGCTGGATTACTGAGCTCCTGTGTGATTCCTGGAGCTGCTGCTGTTGGAGTAAGGAGCTGTCCTTAGTTCTTGGCCTGTCCCAGGAGCACCTCCTGGGTGCTGCATGCAAGTCCTGGACGTGCTGGAAACGATGGGGATTGGCAAGAACACCACGGCCAAATCGGTGGAGGCAGGAGGCTCCACAGAGGGGAAATACGAGGATGAGTCCAAACACCCCACCTTCTTCACCCTGCCTGTGAGTATTTCCAGCCCTGCAGCCAGGCTCAGGGTGAACCAGGGATGATGTTCCCGTTGTACACACCCATATTTCCTCGAGCAGTCAGTGCCAAGGCTCTGCTCCCCTGAACATATGGGCATAGACACGGCTGCTCCTGCTGGGTGGGGTTGTTCGTGTTGCCAGGACGTGCAGCACCCCAGCACTGCATGGTCAGAGCACTGAACTGTCCTCCTGCAGCAGGCACCACCCCTGGGCTGGAATCATGGAATCCCTGAGGTTGGAAAAGTCCTCCAGGATCCTCAAGTCCGGCCTGTGACTGATCCCACCATGTCCACTCAATCATGAAGTGCCACATCTGCTCTGAGCAGCTCTGGGCATGGAGACACCACCACAGCCCTGGGCAGCAGTGCCAGTGCTTAACAACTCTTTCAGTGAAGAAATATCCCCAAAATCCACCCTGAGCCTCTCCTGGCCCAGCCTGAGGCCGTTCCCTCTCCTCCTGTCCCTGTTCGCTGGGAGCAGAGCCCGACCCCCCCAGCTGTCCCCTCCTGTCAGGAGCTGTGCAGAGCCACAAGGTCCCCCCTGAGCCTCCTTTTCTCCAGGCTGAGCCCCTTTCCCAGCTCCCTCAGCCTCTCCTGGGGCTCCATTCCCTTCCCTGGACATGCTCCAGTTCCTCAGGGTGTCTCTCCTGAGGGGGCACATCTGGACCCTGCCCTTGAGGGACCTCAGGAGCCTCCTTGCCCACCTGGGCTCGTGCCCAGCCTGTATTGACCACCTGAGCTGCTCAGCTGAGAGTAGGAGGCAGCAGCAGGGAGACATTTGCTTGTCTCCTACTGACATTTGCAGTTTAATCATTCTGTTGTACACGTTACCTCTCAAGAACCCTTCAGCCAGTCTGCTCCTGCTTCCCCCTGCCCCAAGCTGACACTGCCCAGGTTTGCAGGAGCTCTCTCTGTGGTGTTTTTAAGGAGCCCTGTGATTTTTTAGGAACTCTCTCTGGTGTTTTTGGGGAGCTCTGTGTGATGTTTTTGGGGAGCTCTCTCTCTGGTGTTTTGGGGGAGCTCTCTCTCTGTCCCTAGCCCTGCTGTTACAGAAATGATGACTTGCTGTGCTCCTCATTTTTTCTGACAAAATGTCAAGAGGCAGATGTCAAGTACCAAAGGAGAAAACTTAGTGACATACGAGGTGTGATCACAGGGGAAATGTTTATTTTAAAAGACCTTGTGTTTCTCTTTTTGTGACGTTTTTAAGGTTGTGATAAATGGTGGAGCCACATCCAGTGGTGACCAAGACACAGAGGACACAGAGCTGATGGCCATCTACACTACAGAGAATGGCATAGCAGAAAAGGTACGTGGGCCTTCCCTGCTAGGTGAGAGCTCATTCTTGCTCTCTCAGCTCGTGCTTTGCTCACAGCAGCCTCCCCTGGCTGTGAGGTTTCCTGTCTCAGAGGTGCTGACTTGCAGATTGACATCACCCCAGGCAGTTCTGCCCTCATGACTCCTGGTCACACACTTTGGTTGCAGCACTTGGGGCATGACTCAGGAAATGGTGGAAGCAGTTCATGCCCTTGGTTGTGAATTTTCCCAGCTTTTTTCTCCATTCCTTAATTCCTGGGCCGATTCAGTAATAATCCTGCAAGCTGAGATGGTGTGTATCTGAGCTTTTGTTTAAAATAAGCATGAGGATTATGTTAAATCTAAACTTCTAAAGTGTTGAGTCACACTGGCTTGGTAATAGAGCCTTGTCTCTGAAAAGCCTCAACCTGACCAAAGTTTTGCAAATGTCCTGATAGAAACAAGAACAACTCCTGGTTCCAAGCAAGGGCATTGTGATGCTCCTTCCTTCCAGGCTGTAGTTTCTCTTGGGGCAAGGATGATATCAAGGGATGCAGTTAATGTTTTCCAACTCAGAAACACAAATTCAGTTCTGAATTTCAGATTTAAAACACCCCAGAGCAGCCAGAGGCCTGTCAGTGTTGGGTTTCAAAGGAGACTGGGCCTGGTGCACTCCCAGCTCATTCTGCCTGGGTGTCTCACTCACATCCCCACAGCCCTCATCATCCCACTCATATTTAATGGACAGGCTTTTGTTGACCTGGAAAGTCTTTGATGGCTGATTTTTGGAGCATGCTGGGGCTGGAGTGGAGAGGCACAATCTGATAAAAGCCTTAAGCAAAAGGTGTTTGGGTGGAATTGTGCAATGAGATAAGCCATCTCTAGACATGAAAGTGTTCCTGGTTTTACCAAACATGTGCTTTTCTCCCTCCCAGTTGATCCATGTGATCAGAACTGGGGATGGTGGAGAATAACTCACCTAAAAGAGACTGTGAGCTTTTGAGCAACCAGATCTCCTTGACTTAAAGCTTTGCTGTGCCTCACAGTGAATGAACAGGGTGGGCAGGCCCTAGCACAGGGTGCCCAGAGCAGCTGTGGCTGCCCCTGGATCCCTGGCAGTGCCCAAGGCCAGGCTGGACAGGGCTTGGAGCAGCCTGGGACAGTGGAAGGTCTCCCTGCCCGTGGTCCCACTGGACCTTAAGGTCTTTGCAACCCAGCCAGGGAAGGGCCAGGTTGGACATGAGGAGGAATTTTTCAATGGAAAGGGTGGTCAGGGATTGGAAGGGATGTCCCAGGGCAGTGATGGAGTCCCCATCCCCAGAGGTGTTCAGAAAATGAGTGGGTGTGGCACTTGGAGATGTGGTTTGGTGATGACCATGGTGGTGCTGCTGTGTTGATGGTCAGACCTGATGATCTGAAAGGGCTTTTCCAAGTTTGACAATTCCATGATTCAAATTCCTGATTTTTTCCCACGTGTTTATTTTGTTTGTTTGTTTTTGTTGTTTTTTTTTAGAGAATTGGGTCAGGAGGGAGTTTGTTCCTTTTTCAGTCAGTGAGAAGCTGTCACTGGTGCTGCAGGAAGGGTTGGGCAGGGACAGTTCCCCTGAAATTAGAGTTTCTATATTTTTCTTTTCTGCTGCAACACCCTCGACCTTCCCACAGTGCTCACTTGCATTCCCTGAATGTGAATTATCCCGGTGGATTTGTTTTCCCAGCAGGAGGCTGAGGTGGGAGGGCAGTGTGCCAGGGGTCAGTTTGGCTCTCTGAGTGGCAGGTGGCACCAAGTGGAGATGATCTCAGCATAATCCATGGATGTGTTGGGATTTTTGGAGAAGTAGAGACCGTTTGAGGCAGTCACGAGTCTGGCAGAGTTCCCAGGCTCTGTGTGAGGCAGCTTCACGTGGGTTTGCTACGTCTTGGGCTGGATTAGGGCAGAGCAGTTGTTGTGTAAGGTAATTTTTTAGTTACTTGACCTGAAATTACAAAATCCAATACTTCCTCCTGCTTTTATTGTTGTGCTGGGAGCGTTGTGGTTTGTTCTCAGGAATTTCCAAACCAGAGGGTTGGAGGGAAAGGATTCCACTCATTTGTGACAGAGAAATGACAGAGCTGGCCCTTGTTTTAGTGGAAAATCTGCAGGGGTGTTGATGTGTGAATGTCTCTGCTCAGTTGTCCATTGGCTGTCTGGGACTTCTAGGGCACAGCGTGGCCTTGCCTGAATTCCTGGGGAAATTTAAATTCCTGGAGGAATTCTGCTTGACTGCTAGGAATTGGTTGGGGATTAATTTGGGTATAATAATTAACATTTTTCCTGACTGCATAAATGGGAGAGGCGGAAGAAAAATTATAAATTCTGCAGCCAAAAGTGGTTAACCAAGATGAAATTGGGTAAGAGCAAAGCAGGGAAGCAATTATCATAATGAGGATTTATTTTTTGCCAGTGATTTTGGTCTCTGATGCAAGGACAGAACTCTTGTGCTTTGGAAACAGCCAGGGTTGGCTTCTTAGTTCCAATTTTTCCCTGTTTTCTTTTTTCTGTTTGCTTTTGTGGTTTGGGGGTTTGGTGGGGTTTTTTAAGTCTTGTCGTGTTGAATCCATTTTTAGGTACCTTTTGGCTGCCAGATCAGTTCTGTCATCAGTCAGCAATTATAAATAAAAAGGCAGGGAATGGCTGTCAGAAGGGAACGTGTTGGGTACAAATTCAGGAGCTTGATGTGAAAGGCTTTGAAATTGTCACAAATCAGCGTTGCTTGGGCGTGCTGAACCAGCCTTGGAGTGACTGGGAGTTGGCTGACAGTTGAAATTCACTTTATTCCGTGCAGCAATAACCTGCTGGTCTCTCTTGTTCCTGCAGAGCTCCCTGGCAGAGACCCTGGACAGCAGTGGCAGTTTGGATGCCCAGAGGACTGACATGATTTACACCATTGAAGATGTTCCTCCCTGGTACCTCTGCATATTTCTGGGCTTGCAGGTACATCCCAGAACAGAGACTGTTTCTTCTTCTGTAACTTTCAAAGCTTGTTGAGGACTTTCTGTGCAGTTCATTGTGTTTGTGTGTGTGAGTTTTATCCTCCTCCACTCTCACATATTTGAAGAAGGTGCTCATAGGTTTCTTCTGAAGCTGATCACACTCAGATCATTGTTCTGAGAATGATTTGAGTTTTCAGTTCATGCATTTGTGAGATTCACTTTAAATATCTAGTTATAAAGTGCTGTTGGTAAATGATTGAGCAAAGGCTCAGTGGTGGTTTTCACAAGGGACATGGGGCACCTCTGGAGTTAAAGATGAGAGAGAACGGTTTAGACCTGAAATGTTGAATATTAAAGCTGCTACTGCAGTTATTTCAGTTTTGAGAGCATCACCTGGCTTGCCATGGAGGCCCCTGGAGCAGGAGCAGGTGTTTTCCTGCAGGGAGTGGGGCTGCAGTGGGCAGCTGGACCCTCCTCCAGCTCAGCCACTGTTCGTGGGCAGCAGAGCAGCTCCACTTCCATCTCCTTCCCTTCTCCAGTGATGGTAACATCTGTCCCACAGGAATGCTGAGAATTTGGTCATCTCTGTAAAGGACGTTGAGATCTCCAAACAAATACATTCCAAAACATCCTTTTTATTTCTGCCTTTTCCTTAAGGACAGGCAGTTCCCTAGTAATTCTCTTTTTACTTGTGGGTGGAGTATGGTGAAAATCTGTTTGTTTTGCTTTTGACTGCTTGGGTTGAGGAAGAATTAATGAGTGCCCAGCTGCTGGTCCTTGGGAGCTTTGTGTGTGCTCCAGGTTCATCCGTGAGCCAGGGGATATGAGCCCGTGTGAATGGAGTTACTTCTGGGCTGGAGGCTGCTATCAGCAGTTACCTGGATGCCTGCTCAGGAGAGCAGCTGTGGAGCTGTTTCAGTGCCCTATGGAACCTCCAGAAATGACAGAAATCAGAGATGCCCACAATCAGGATCACGAGCGGGAGCTCAGGGAAATGCTGAAAGCAAAGCTCAGAGCAGAGGGAGCTTTGCTGGGGGTTCAGAAGCAGCAGGAAAAGCTGGTGCTGAGTGAGTGAGTGAGTGAGTGAGTGAGTGAGTGAGTGAGTGAGTGAGTGAGTGAGTGAGTGAGTGAGTGAATGTGCTGCTGAGTGCTGGCTGTAGCTCTAACCCCCCCTGTGCCCCCAGCACTACCTGACGTGTTTCAGCGGGACCATCGCCGTGCCCTTCCTGCTGGCCGATGCCATGTGCGTGGGCTTTGACCAGTGGGCCACCAGCCAGCTCATCGGGACCATCTTCTTCTGTGTGGGCATCACCACCCTGCTGCAGACCACCTTTGGCTGCAGGTGAGAGCTGGGGCCTGGGGCTGCCTGCTGCCACTGCCTGAGGCTGGGCATCCTTTGGGATTTCCCAGCACCCAGGAGTGTGGGGGATTTCCAGAGGAGAAGCACAAAAGCAGCAGCAGCAGGTACAGGGCTGTAGCAATGTATCTAAGCCATAATTTATATCAAGTGCACCAGCCAAACTATATTTAGCTGTTTTTCTACATTTTTTTAGTTTTAAACCATTGTTTATAACAGGTAAGACTGGATGAGCCATTTTAAAGTGTTTTTTGTGCAGTTTATCAGACTTTCTAGAACTCTTCGAGGCTACTGAAACATAAATTGTGCTAAATTAGGAAAGAAGAAGCTGAAAACAGAATAACAAGATTTAAAAAGCCAAAATAAAGGTAGGCAGTAATGCTCTAAACTGCAACCAATCCTCTTACCTGCAAGGCTCATGCAAGGTGCATGGAAAAGAGAGAGGCACCAATCAAAAACTACATGATCTCCTGAACAGTAGTTTTAAAATGTATAAGTAAAATTAAAAGTAAACAAATCAGCTTCTGCGTAATCACACTGATTTACTGTCCAAAAGTTCCTTTGTTCCCACACAGGGCAGTTAGGGAAAGCTTTTGGAAAGCTACTCCCAAAAAATGGTGGATCTGAAATAACACAAGACATCCCAAGGGTGAGGAAATACAGCAAGGAGAGGGGAGGAGGAGGAGGGAAACTCAGCAGAAAAGAGAGGGCAGAAGTGTTCCTGGAAGATGAAAAATTCATACACCTTGGTAAAGAGGAGTTAACTGTGGTGGTTTTATTAATTTCTTGAATGAAATTCTTGGCAATATTTAGGTGGTTGTGATCAGTCCTACAACAAATTGCATTCTTGATCCTGTGCAGGGCTTAGCAAGTTATAAAAAATGGAAAATTATGAGAGAAACTCATCACTCTGAACTGAGTCTCTGATACCTCCCAATCTATAATTAATAATTTGGGTTTATTTGTTATGGGTAGTGATCATTCCTGGAATTGGGAACACACACAAAGGTGTAGCCTTGTAGAAATCTGGTGTTGGCAAGAACGGGATTTTGTTTTATTAAGATAAATCTTTAAAAACCTGTGTTCCACTGTGACCACTGCACAGATGTTTAACATGCTGACCTAAACTTTGGGAATAACTGAAACCTGCAGAGTTACTTCTGCATCTTCTTGAATAAACCCAATCCAGAAGAAAAGTGCATGTTTAACCCTCAGGTGGTTACTGGGGTGATCCTTGAGTCATTCAGTTCAGTTTCAGAACAGTGTGAGCTGAAATCTTGCCTTCCACTAGAAAATTCTGAACACTTTCCACATTTTCAAAGATTTAGTTAAGAACCAGAATCTTCAGGTGGCAAAGGTGTCTCAGGAGGGTGCAGAAGGCAAACCTGTGGTGGATCAGCTTTTCATCTGAAACATTTCCAGATATTCCAGGTTTTCCAGTGTACCCTTGGGTTGCTACTTGAGTTTGCTTTGGTTCACTTGCTGGTCTTTTTCCTTTGGAAATAAACACTTTCCCTATATTTTTTTGTCTTACTGGACTTAGGAGCTCACTCGTCTGCCTTGGGAAGTTCACTGTGATTACAAAACAACAGAGTGAAACCTGTTGAAAAAGCAAACTTTCTTTCCCCAATGTGTTTTCTTTTAGTAAAGACTCCCTAGAGTTAATAATCTTATTTCCAGCCTGGTTGGCTCTTTGTGCTGCAACCATAAATCCTCATGTACATTGTCTGGAAGTTTGTCATATTTGTTGGTTTGTTGATTTTTTTTTTTTTCCCCCTAACTAATCTTGGCTTTTTATCACTTAAGATACTGAGAGAGATTTGGGGCTCATTCAGAGAGAAGGGGCCCAAAATTATGGTGCCATCATTTTGAAATTCTCTGTTCTTTCTCTGTAATCCCACTCCTGCCCTCCGCCCTGCTGGGATTTTTCCCTTTTCAGTGGCTTCCACTTGCAGTGTACTTAGATTTTTATATCCCTGAAGGCCAAATTGTGTCTGGGTCTTAAAATAACTTGTATTTAAGGAGGAAATTTCCACTCTTGGATGTTTTATAACTAGTCCCCATGTGATGGGGGGTTTATGTAAGGCTGGGAATAGGATAGAGCAGCACGGGCCTCTCAATGAGATTTGCAAGTATTCATTGGCAAGTCTGTCAACTGCAAAGTATTTCAGCAAATAAAGGTTTCAGAAGGTCAAATTCCATGGTTTAAGGGTCCTTAAAGATGGATTTAGCTCGATTACGAGGCGGAGTTGTGGTCAGTTTGGTACCCAGACCAGTTCTAGGAATCCCAGCTATTCACTGGGTTATGTAGTGAGCCCCAGCTCTGGCAGGGGTTCATTAGTGGGTAATTAGTGGCACTGAGACCATCAAATAGAGCTTTAATCCAGCCAGGGTGGCAGCACTGGTGCTGTGCCCGTCACTGCACTGGCTCAGCTTCCTCACATCTGTGGGACATGTGAACGTAATGAGACATTTCCAGTTGCCTTTGGCTGCAGGAAAACTCCTGTCTTCACAAGGGACAGTGCCAAAATGGAGCAGCTTGATGATTTAGACGTGAAATTTAAATGAGTTTTGGTGCTTTAGCTGGCTGGCAGTGAGTGGCTGCCTTCAAATCCATAAGTCACATTACAAACTGCAGCTGTTTCTTGAGAAAGAGACAGATCTTGCTGACTGATTTTAAGCAATTTGTTAAAAAAAAATTAAAAATTTAATTACTTTCCTTTTTTGCCTGGCTTAGGGGAAAAAGGCCCACTATTTAGAGCCTGTTGGGAGCTCCCTCAGTTACCTGTGTCAGGTAAAAGTTGAGCAGGATGTGCTGAGATGTGATTTTCCTTCTGTGTGCTGGTGTTTAATGGGATACAGAACAACCCAAGCTGGCAGCAGTGACCTCAGCACTGTAGAATGTGTTTGCAGTGTGTGTTTACCAAACCTCTGAGGGGCTGTGTAGGTGGGATGGAGCAGTAGCAGCTTGTTCCAGGTATTGCAGACCTGCAATGGCACCAGCTTTGCTTAATGAACCTGGCAGCATGGGGTGACTCATTCCCTGAGCCACCAGCCCTGACTTCCTGGAGATAAAGCTGGGATTTGTGCTCCCAGTGGGAGTTCTGTCCAGTCAGCCATGCTTGGATGGCTCATGGAGTTTATGAAGTTTGAGTTTCTAGTGGAATTTTCAGCATTTGGTGAGTTTGAAATTGCCCATGGCCCAAACTGCTCCAGCTCCTGCCTGTGGACTTCATAAGTACCATTAATAACATGCCTCTGGTTTGATCTTTCCTGTGCTCAGTGTACACCACTTTTCCCCCACACTTCTCCTCTGAGCATTTCCTTATCTTTACCTGAACCTGAGCAGCTGTTTTTCCTGCCCTGGTGTTTGCCCTGCCCTCGAGGTGCTGTAAAACAGCCCCTGAGCAATTCCCTGTCACACCTCGGGATCTCCTGTTAAAGGGAATCTCATGGCAATGAATTAATGTCAATATTTGCAGAATAGTTCCAAGTGCATCTGGAGTTAAGTAACCTTGGGAGATTTGTTACACAAGGTACAGTGAGTTCATTAAATTCATAGCTGGTGCAGGTAGATCCTCTTCAGATCTTTAAATCGTTTAGGAAATACAAACATCAATGCTAAGAATGTCATCTTGAAATTCTTGTGGTGTTTGTATTTGGTGGTGGTAACCACTTGGAACATCTAATCTGCTCCCATCGACCCAGCAGTTATTGACACATGCACTTAAAAATGAGTGTGCTTGGAGTCATGCAGAGGGAAGGGATGGAGCCTGCAGGCTGCACGTTCAGAGATCTAGGATGGTGGAAGCTGCACATTCAGCACTCTGTTCCCCAGCTCAGTGTCCCATCTGTGTCCCTGTGCTGCTGAGCCACAGCCTGGATCAGTGCCTGGCCCCTGGAATTACCTGGCTGATAACTTTCAGGCAGGTGGTGGTGTGTCTTTGGCTTGTGAAGTCTTTGTATTTCTCTGATTGGGTTTGGGGTTTTTGGTGAGAAATCCTCCTATTTCCCAGTTCTATAACTCAGTAAAGGGTGGTTTGAGCACCCACCCACTGCAGTGACCCCACAGAATGTCAGCATCTCTCCTCTCCTTTTCCACCAGGTTACCCCTGTTCCAAGCCAGTGCTTTTGCATTCTTAGCACCTGCCAGAGCAATTCTCTCTCTGGAGAAGTGGAAGTGCAATAACACAGGTAATTGTTGTTTATCCTTGTTCAGGTTTAAGTGACAAATGGCCCAGGTCATGTGGAGTGCAGCTGCCAGAGCTTCTGATGTAAAAACTGCCAGTCATGAGCAGGGAATATGGGAAGCCTCTCTTTTTACAATGTTAAAATACTGTGCCACAGGAGAAGATTGCTGGAAATGTCCTTGAGCCATTCCGTTTCTGGGCTTTTTTTAAATATAAAAACATTGACAAAAGAAATGTAAACGTGGCATAAAGTAATTCTGTTTCATTTACATTCTGTAAATGTTCCTTCCCATAATGTTCCAAATATTTGGAAATAGTGAGTCCAACTGAATTCCTTTGAAGTTGTGAGTAGGAGGGAGTTTGAGCAATGTAGAGCATCACCTCCAGACCAGGATTATTTTCCCCTGTTTAACTCATACCTGACAGGTTTTGACAAGATTTGGATGTTCTTTTTCACTCTTTCTCTGTTGATGTCGTCATCCTGGAAGGTTTGAACTTCAGAGGGAAAAGATTCTGGTTGGGGTGGGAGCATTTGCTTTAGATTGGACTGGGAGGTGGAAATGACTCTGGCAGGTTTTTGGGGGATGGTTAATTCAGTACCAAGGCTGTGGGCAGTGGGAAGCAGCAGCACAAGGAATCAGGCTGCTCACTCCTGACTGAAGCTCTTCCCAGGGCTCTTTTGGACTCTTTAGTAATTGAATTTCCATTATTTGTGTGTTTATACATCTCTGTATAAATGTGTCAATTCAAAATGTGATTAATACCCAGCTTGTTGAAAGAAACTATCTGATAACCCTGGATGGATGGCAAAGCAATTTTCCCCACAACTCCAGATTTTCAAAAAGAGCTTTGCTGCATCTTCCTCCTGAGCCCTTTGACCTTCCAAAGCTGCCAGGTGGGGTTGTCCCCACGGGTCAGCTCATTCAGTGACCTCAGCTGGGGAACAGCAGGCACTGGAGTTTGTGATTCCTGGGGTGCAGCTGAGGAATTCTCCATTAGAGGGGGGAGAGAATTCCTGACTGACCTTTCTGTCTGGAAGTCAGTGCGTTTTCCCACGTGGGAGCACAGGCTGAAGTGAGGGGTTGGCTCTTGGGGAAGGTGGACCTGGTGTCACTTCATCTGTGGCAGAACTTGCTCTCTGTGTGAATTGGGGCTCATTTGTCAGACACAGCGTGAAGAGGGATTTGTTTTGTGTGGAGTGGTAGCAGAGTGGCTGGGGAATGAATAAATAAATTAATAAATCTGTGGTTTTTTTCTCCCTTTTGCAAGATGTAACAGTTACCAATGGAACAGCAGAGCTGCTGCACACGGAGCACATCTGGTACCCCCGGATACGAGAGGTAATGTGGGAGTTGCCTTTAGCTGTCACTCTCTCCAGTTCCAGTTAAGTTTCTCACTTAATCATCTGTGTGTTCTTGTCTTTAAGTTGGTAATTTCTTGTTTCACTGCGATCTCCATTTGAATATATCCCTTTACTCATTTCATGGAAGTCTTCATCTTTCCCACCTGTTCATTGCTGGACAGCAAATTCCAGGAGTTAGTTACCACATTCCAAAAGACGTGCAGTGAAATGCTCAAGTGAGATGAAAACTCTTCTTAAAACTTTGATTTGTGCTCGCTGGCAGCAGTTCAGCTGCTGCCAGGCCTCTTGCCTGCTGTCCTTGTGCAGTGGGGCTGGCCCCTGGAAGGTGAATCTGCAGTTAGGAAATCTGGTTCATTCCCAAGTGTCTTAAGTTGGAGACTCTTGTGATAAGAGAGACTTGTGAAATATCTGGAGCTCCTTCTCCACTCACAGCACTGCAGTGTGAAGTCATGGTGCCTTGCAGGGCAGGCTGAGGGCTGTGCCATGCCAGGGTGGCAGGTAGAGTAGTCCAAATGAAGGCGTGTGTCATGGAATTGATCTCCCATCCCGTTGCTTTGGGCTGCCAACTTTTTCTTAATTAAAAACAACCCCTCTCTCTTCCCCATGTTCAAACCATAGCTACATCCTGCCAAGAGCCCTGCAGCCAAGAGGGCTGACAGTCTCCTGAGACCACAACGCTGCTCTAATCCAGCTTCTAAGGAGCACTTGTGACCAATGCAGCACACACTCTGCCCCTAGGAGCTAGGAGCATCACCTCGTGGCGCACCAACCCTTGCCGTTCGATCTGAGAGCTTAAAGGTTAGCCTGGACCCCAGGTCTCCTGTCTGACAGTGTGATGTGCTTTCCACACAGCTTCCAGACTGGCCCACTGGTCTGTTGTGTAATAGTTTTGTGGAGAAAACCATAAGTGTTATGCTTAAAGCAATAAGTCACTTAAACATAATGAGCTGTTTTATGACGAAAAAAAATTTGCTGAGTTCTTCTGTGTCACTGAATTCTTTTAACTGCAGTTTGTAATCCAGAGCAGAAAAACAAAAGGTTTGGCTTTGCCTGTCAGATGGCACTGAGCTGCCTCTCTGCCCTGTTGTGTGTTCAGATCCAAGGTGCCATCATCATGTCCTCGCTGATCGAGGTGGTGATCGGGCTGCTGGGGCTGCCCGGGGCTCTGCTGCGCTACATCGGCCCCCTGACCATCACCCCCACCGTGGCCCTCATCGGCCTCTCGGGCTTCCAGGCTGCAGGGGAGCGAGCTGGCAAGCACTGGGGCATCGCCATGCTGTGAGTACCCCGGGGGTCCTGCTGGGCAGGCACACTTTTGGGGAAAAGCCGGAGGCAGCATGTGCCAGTGTTGAGAAACAGCATGAGCAGGAACGTGGATGAGTCTGGGTAAGGGCAGCTGGAAGTGTGGGAATAAGGACAGCAGCAGTTCAGGGGAGTTGCCTGAAGAAGCTTTTCCCTGGGAAGAAATCTTTCCCTGGGAGAGTGGGGAGGCCCCAGAACAGCTGTGGCTGCCCTTGGATCCCTGGCAGTGCCCAAGGCCAGGCTGGACAGGGCTTGGAGCAGCCTGGGACAGTGGAAGGTGTCCCTGCCCACGGCAGGGGTGGCACTGGATGGGCTTTAAGGTCCCTTCCAGCCGAAACCATTCCATGGTAATGTGAACTCGAGGAGAGGGGAAAGGACAGTGGCCATAAATGAGTGTGGGGAGCAGAATTTTATAAAGCAGGAGTTGATCTGGGAGCCGTTGGCCAGGTGGAGTTCAGTGCTATAGAAAAGATGATTTAGCAAAACACTTAGATGAAATACAGTGAACAATTTGTATTTCTGGGCTGGCATTGCCTGTTTCCTCTTCTGCAGCAGCAGGTAAATACCACTGGTGATGCTGGTCCCTCTGCCGTTGGTACTGGTTTGCTTACCTGTACTCAAGAGATTTTATGTCATGACAGAGGGCACAAGTATTGCCATGAACACCACCAGTGGCTGAGCCATGAGCATAGAGGTTCCTGTTGAGGTGACAGAAAGGCTTTTAGAGAGAATTTCAGGGAATGTGTGTGCCATCAGCTGTAGGGGCCAGGGAAATGAGAGAATGAAAAGGAATAAGTGAGGGAAATGAGACAAAGAGAAGACAAAAGCTCCCCTTGTGGGTAAGGAGCCAAATAGGGCTGGAAAGCCCATTTTAGGGAGAAAAGAGGCTGAAGCAGTTGCTGTGCTCCATGTGCAGCACCCGACTGTGCTGGCTCTGGGAGCAGGAGGAATGCCTTGATGAGATCAGATTATGATCTCACTAATCTGTTTGCACAGTGCTTTGAACATGTAAAGTATTCTGTAAGTGCAGCTTATGATTAAAAGGGCTCTTTAATTCTCTTTTATCTTGGATGTTGGCATCATGAGTATTTTTGGTGATTCTGTTCTATTAAGCAGCTGATCCAAAGGAATGTTTTATTTGCCTGTAAAACAAATTCTGTGCAAGTTGGGACTAACGTTGAGTGAATCAAGCAGATCTTTGAATTGGACATGAAAACGTGTAATTAAAGTTGACATTTTTGCAGATGGAAAAAAAATAAATCAATTCAGGACCGGGATTCAAATATTACCCAGTCAATAAAGTATTTCTGGCTTCTGCCATGCAAAAAATGGGCACTGGATTGTTGAAAAGAGCTCCACAGCTGTGGGGAGCCACTCAAAAGTGACTCTAGCTCTGAGAGATGAGATCAAGGTCCTGGATTTTTCCCTGGCCTTGCAGAATCAGCTGTAGCAGAGCTGGGGACAGGATTCTCCATTTCCCACTTTCCTGACCTAATTTGTTCCATGGCTGCTTTATTCATGAGACACTTTGCATTGTGATTTGTAAAAAGGGGAATTATTCCTGAATTGGGCTTTGCCTGTTTATCCAAATTTTCCTGGGGCATTCAAGGATTTGATGCTGTTTCACAGCCCCTCTGCCCTTCAGCCAATCGAAAATGCATTGCAATAATAGAATATTAGATTTTTTACAACTCTGTACTAAATAAAATCCAAAACTTCCTGTCATCAGGATGTGTGAGGGAGTGGAGCCTATCTTCCCATGGTGGATTTTGGGGGAGATTCTGGGGTTTCCTGCATGGAAAAGAGATGCCTTTTGCTTTTCTCCTGGAGTGCTGAGGGCTGTAAATGCCCCTCCTTGTTCCTGGAGACTGAGGCAGAGGAAAACTGGTTTGTTTCTGATGTGGGGCAGAAGAGGGAGAGAGGCTGAAAATCCTCTTTTTATTTTTCAAGTCAGCTGATAAAAACATAATCTCAGATTTCAGCAGAGCTTTGCTGCTTCAGACAGCTCCTGTCTTTGGGAGGCCCTTTCAGAGCAGAGCTGGCTTGGCTTGTTCAGAGTTGAGCAACGTGCCCAGGCTTCTGATTTTTCAGTGCTGTGGGGGCTTATTGTAGCTGTAAAAATTAATTTTTAATGTCTAGAGGAACTTGGCAGTTTCACTGGGGGGAATGTATAATAATTGAGATATCTAATACTGATGAACCGCACTTGCAGCAAATCTTGGGGGTTTGGCTGCATTCTGCTTCATTTGCAGCTATTCAGTGAAAGATTCTTAATGGAAGAAATGGATTCTGAAGAACAGAAAAATTTGCCAGACAGAAATGTTTCAAGTGCTTTGGAGTTTCATGCAAATTTTGAAATATAAAAATTACTGTACACAGGCCTCCAGTTCTCCTGTTTCTTCCCAGTTGCTGGGATCCAACCCTGGATCACAGGTGGAGTTTGGGAGGAAAGAAGGGGCAGCACAGGAATTTTAACTGGAAACCTCCCTTCAGTCTGAGCCTGTTCCTGATTCATTCTATCTGCTTGCAGCTGCTGAGTTTCGCAGCACTTCAGAATTCAAATTCTGTTTTGGCATTTGAAGGATAATAATTTTAATCATTTTGCTGCCTTGTCTTTTGCTTAAATTGAAAATCTGCATTTGTGTTCTGCGTCCAAAGGGTCTGAAGAAGTTTGTGCTGAGAAGAATTTATTATATGTTGGTGCTAATTACATTTCTCTCTTGTCCCATCCTCCTCCTCCTCCTTTTTTCCTCAGGACTATTTTCCTAGTATTGTTGTTTTCTCAGTATGCCAGAAATGTCAAATTTCCCTTGCCCATTTATAAATCCAAGAAAGGATGGACAGCATACAGGCTGCAGCTTTTCAAGATGTTCCCTGTAAGTTGTTGAACTTGTTCTTCCTTCGGGGGGGGGAAAGTTTCTGTTTCAGGGGGGTTTTGATTTTTCTTAACAATAGAATACTCACAAAGGTGAGATAAACGCTTAAATAGATTTATTGGAAACACAGCAGCTCGTTGGCTACAGGAAATACTCTGATTTTGTGGCCACTCTGGTGTCTCCCTCTTCTGAGGAGCTGCTGCAGTGGTGGAGGCCCAGGAGGGTAGGGAAGGGCAGAGGGGAGGGGATGTTTGTGTGCCCAGAGAGCCCAGAGTGAGCCCTCAGAGCTGCCGATAGCAGATCCTGACCATCTCCTTCTACCTAAACTCCCCTGCCCTGGTGAAAGGCTGCTCTTTATTCCTCTGGTAAAACTGAGACTAATTCCCCAGTTTGTTCAAGTGCCCATTTGGAGACTTAAGGAGAGAAGGGGCTTTCTGTGGTTGCCAGGATTTTGAGAGCACTTTCCTGGTCGGGGGCAGCAGTGGGGCTGTGCTGTGCAGCTCTGCCGAGGGATTTGGGATGGCACTCAGACTCACAGCCCTGCAGCACATCCCAAATGGGCACTGAGAGTTCCTTTTTCAACTTCTCTGCTCCTGTCCCCCAGATCATCCTGGCCATCCTGGTGTCGTGGCTGCTGTGCTTCATCTTCACGGTGACAGACGTGTTCCCCCCGGACAGCTCCAAGTACGGCTTCTACGCGCGCACGGACGCGCGCCGGGGCGTGCTGCTGGTGGCCCCCTGGTTCAAGGTGCCCTACCCCTGTAAGTGTGCCTGCTCCCCGGGAGCCCAGCCCTGTCCTGCCTCGTGTTCCTGCAGCTCTGCTGGCTCTCTCTCACTGCCGCACCCTTGGGTGGTGGGCGATGCACCCCTGCGAGTGTCCCAGGCAGGCTGGACAGGGCTCGGAGCGGCCTGGGACAGTGCAAGGGGTCCGTGCTCGTGGCAGGGGTGGGGCTGTCCCAGTCCAGGCCAGTGCACAGTTCTAACACACTCATTACCACACTCCACCACTCTCATTACCTGATGCGTGGGAATGATGGTTTTTCCTTCTTTTCCTCTTTAGTTGCTACCCTAAGGTCTCACCCAATGAAGGCTGAGGTTCTGGAACTGCAGTTTGCAGGATTTATGTGGGTGACTCTTCTGATGACAAGTGATTGTATCTATAACGTGGAAATCCAAGGACTGGCTGATCTATCTGTCCTTGGCAATGCTGTTAATGTTATACAATGCCAGGGACAGGTTTTTACAGCTCTACTGACTCTCCTTGTGTAAAGAACCACTTTTGTGGGGAGTTGCCCCCAGCTTGCTGCACTTCCCTGCTCCAAACACACCCATTCCTGAGCGAGCACAACTGTTACTGGCACAAAAATGCCCTGACTTGCCAAGGCAGTGCTGGAACTGGCAAGTCAGAGAATGCCAGGCCCTTCTTATCAGAGGGCAATGAAATTATTTACAGGAGAGCACCAAACACTTTACACAATCTTTTGGATGCATCTTTATGTTGGCCACCTGTAAGTTTAAAGCTGGTAAAAGCTGGGTTTACGGGATGAGATTGCACAACTGGTTCATCCTTCAGAAATTAATGAGGTAATTAGGGAATAATGTTCTTTTAGAATAGAATTATAGGAATTACCAGCTATGCCACCAGGCTGTGATGAGGTAGCTTCATTGTGGTTTTCCTGATGCTTTAGTTCTTAAAAGAAACCACTTCTAAGCAGCAGATGAAGAATAGAAGCTTTTGGGAAAGAAGAGGAGGAAAACTTCCCCACCCTGATCAGCCCTTTCATATTTGTGAGGTTCATTCACTCGTGTGTGACTGAAGATCCCTTTGTTGCAGGAGGCTCATCTATTTCAAAGAGATAAAAGCATCAAGGCAATTGCTGTGGAAAACCTGCCAGGCTTTTCTGCAGGCTTAAATTAATCTTGTTTTCTCTACTACAAAAATTTGGAGCTGGGAGGTGTTTGTGCAGTGATTAGAGCTGTTGTTGCCATCCTCTTTGGTAGACTAAACTTGTGACCAAAGTGAGTTTTTGGAGCAATAATAATTAAGTGGCATTTGCCTCACTGGCTAAAATTGTTTTCTCACATGCTGTAGCTCAAATTCCTGATTCCTGAACAGGAGGAATTTTTTTAGTGGGGTTTTATGATTCTCTGGGATTTTTCCAAGTGTGATCAAAGCAGTTGGTTTGGCGGTTTTTCCTTTGCTCCTTTCATCTCCTTGAACTTGCCAGATTGTGTTAGAGTGAAGGGAGTTTGTTGTTTCCATCAAAGATAAATAAACAGTGCCCAGGGTTGTGCTGGGCACTGGGGAGGCCCCACCTGAGTCCCAGAGTCAGTTCTGGCCCCTCAGGACAAGGACATGGAGGGGCTGCAGCGTGTCCAGGGAAGGGACTGGAGCCCCAGGAGGGGCTGAGGGAGCTGGGAAAGGGGCTCAGCCTGGAGAACAGGAGGTTCAGGGGGGACCTTGTGGCTCTGCACAACTCCCTGACAAGAGGGGACAGCCAGGTGGGATTTGGGATTTTATCACAGGGAACAGGACAGGAGGAGAGGGAACGGCCTCAGGGGAGGCTCGGGTTGGATATTGGGGAATATTTCTTCCCCAGAAGGGCTGCTCAGCCCTGGATCAGGGTGGAATCCCCACCCCTGGGGGGATTTAGCAGCAGTGTGGAGGATGTGGCACTTGGGGACAGGGGCAGCGGTGGCCTGGGCAGTGCTGGGGGAACGGCTGCACTCGATGACCCTAAAAAGATCCTAAAACCCAAACCATTGCACAGTTCTGTCAGATTTGTTTGATAGCCAGGCTGTTTCTGGGGCAGGAGAGGTTTCACTTTTCTTCTCTTCACAGTCCAGTGGGGGCTGCCGACCATCTCGGCCGCGGGGGTGATCGGGATGCTGAGCGCCGTCGTCGCCAGCATCATCGAGTCCATCGGGGATTACTACGCCTGTGCCAGGCTGTCCTGTGCTCCTCCTCCTCCCATCCATGCCATCAACAGGTTTGTCCAAAACAGAAATCCTTCAGGCTCAGGATGTTGGGGTTTTTAGGTTTTTTCCCTCTTGGGACAGGAACGTGCTCTGAGATGAAATGTTGCAGTTTGGTCAAACGCAAGGGCCATGGATGTGAAATCCAGGATGGAATTATCATCTTGGATTGTTCTGTTACAGATGGAGCATCTGGATCCCAGTCCTATTCCTGCTGCAGTCTGTGGAAGTTAATAGCACAATTTCCATAGGGATAGAACTCTAAGCTGGTTCTGGGGTTGGGGTTGTTAAAATCACCTAGAATGCAGTTAAGAAAGTTTTAATTGAATTTTTTATATCATTTCCTCCGTTTAAGAATGTGGGGATCTAAGACTTAGGAAACAGAACTCCAATGTGTTTTCCAGGTGTGTTGGAGCTTGAAACATGAATTGCAATAATTCCATGATGGAACAGATGCCCCTGTGGCATTCAGCCATGAAACACCCTCCCAGTGAATCCGAATGATGCACTCCAATATAATCACTGCACCAACAATGACTCCTGTGTTCTGTTTGGGATTTCCAGGGGGATTTTCATCGAGGGTCTGTCCTGTGTTCTGGATGGAGTGTTTGGGACAGGGAATGGATCCACCTCTTCCAGCCCCAACATTGGGGTCCTGGGCATCACAAAGGTGAGGGGCTCGAGTGTTCTTTCTGTTTATAATCCTCTTCCAGGAGACCATTCTGCTCCATTCCTGTGCAGACAAACTTCCCAGATCATTCTGAGTGTACCTGACTGTCTGTACCAGCTCTCGTCTGAGAGAAATGCATTATTGTACATCAGGACCTCAAAAATCTTTTTACTCAGACTAAAAGGCAGTTAGAATCCACATAAAGCAGATGCTGCTGCATAAAGTGTCTCTTGGACAACCCAGGCAGCATTCCAGGGCTCTTGGGGGTTTGAGTTGAGGCATAAACACTGTAAACTCTGTAGAAATTGGTGCTTTTTGGATGTCTTGGCTTTGAAAGCATCAGTCGGAAGTGACTTTTAATGCCTCAAACACAGTAAGATGCAATGTGAAGTGCTTGGGCTTTGTCTGTGTCTGTACTGGGACATTGCAGTGGCACAGGGGCTGCAGTCAGGGTCATGTCAGAGTTAAATGTACCCTGAATGTTGTTTGGGTTCAAGGTTTAGGGGTTTGGTATTTCTCCTGACATTGCTCAACAAAATGTGTGAGTGCTTGAGGAATTCCTTTGCTCACGTGTGGGGCTGGATCTGTGCCTGGAGGAGCTGGAAGGCCTTGGGCTGCAGAGATCTGCCTGATATTGTTAATTTAACCTTGGTAAGAAATAGCAGCAGCATTGTGTGACCTAGCATAAGAGTGATTTATGTTGTAAAAAACGTAATTTATGTTATTTTTTGTTTATGATGTAATAACATCTTGTTGGGTGTTTAACGTGGGGACCATAAATCCTTTGTGCAGAGATAGAAAATGTCTGTAACTAATCCCCCTGGCCTGATCTCCCATATAAATGATAGATTTGTCCTCAGCCATTCCTTCTGCACAAAGGGAGATTCTGCTGGGTTCAGGGTGCAATTCAACACTAACAGCACCATCTGCTGTCTGTACCAGTCACCAGCCAGCTGCTGAGGGAAATCTCCTAGGAGAGGTTTTGGTCAGGAAAAGATCCTTAAAGAAAGATTTCTTCTGTTCTACTCCCTTTCTATTGGTACTTCATGGGGGTTGAAATGAATTAATAGCACTTTTTTTTTTTTTTTTTTTTTTTTTTAAATGAGCAGCCTGCAGAAATGAGTGTGCATTTCATGCTGGAGCAGTGGAAAGTTGGAGTGGCAGCTGTGGCAGGGAGTGGAGCGGCCCAGAGTGGCACAGCTGGGTGGTTCTGCAACAGGCTTTGTTCTTGTTCTCCTACCTACACATTCATTCCCCAAAACCCAACAGTTTTTCAGCTTCAGATAGAATTCTGGCACAGAGGTGCTCTGCTGTTGATTTGGAAGGGGAAATCTTCAGTGCTGCTGATCCCAGGGCATTTCCCTCCCTTGAAATTGGTGTATAATTGCACTTAGAATTTAAATGCATCTGGAGGTGCTGCAGAGTCTTTGAGCTAGTGTGTATTTTACTTGATGAGAGGAAGATCAATTAACTCTGATTAGCTGGGGCTAAAGCAGCTCTTGCCATAGTGGTGATGCTGAAATGGAGGCACCAGGTACCTACCATTTGATGCACTCCAAAATAATCACTGTGAGTGTGTGTGCTGGGAATAAATACAGAGCCTGAGCTAAATGCTGCCTGGGATGTTTTTAGTAGGTTTCCAGAGGAGCTTAATTTGTTTGCATAAACACATGTCGCTGTCATGAAGGTTTACAAAAAATTTGCCTGTTCTGGCAGGGAGAGAATTGCAGGGCAGGATCTGAGTGGCCCTGAAGAAATTAATGTCTTTATAAAGAGTAGAGAAAAATTCCAGCTAAATTCTGTAGTAATTCCAGTTCATGGTGTAGCTTCTGTTAGCAGGGAAAGAAGCTCACCTGGAGCTCAGCAGTGAAGAATGTGAGGGAAGGAAGGACTTTGCATCTCCTCAGGCCTGTTGGATCTGTTGTTTCTCATTTCACTGATTTAGCTCAGTCACACATGATGAACAAATGAATATTTCCTTTTTGAAGCCTGATGCTCTGTGCCAGGGGACCTGCAAAGGGCTTTTCTAGGAACCATCTTAATGTAAAGGAGTTTTTATTGTCCCTGGGGCATGTCTTATGGCAGCAGAAGAGTGTTAAAATACCAACTGCTCAGGTTTATCCACCACCCCTGCACCACAGAGAACCACTAGCTGCTTGAATTTCAAATGCTTAAAATAAAACTGGGAAGGAAGTGCAGGCCCTTAGTTTCAGTGTTAGCACAGCCCTGGTTTGCATTCAGCCCTGGTCTCTGGAGATGTCACAAAACCAGCTGCTAATTTAAGTCTAAAAATCCTGCACCTCCTTCCCGTGACCTGGTGTTGTTACAAACCACCGCACCTGGTAACTGTTCAGTCTATTCCTGAGTCCAAGGGCAGCAGCACACGGAATTTATTTTCTTTTTTCCATTTGCCATCTCTCCTCAGTGGGGTTTGTCCATTTTGCTTTCTCTCTCTTGGCTGGGTTGCACCAATTTCCTGGTGATTGTGGCAGTTCCAGATGGTTTCAGGGCTGGCCTGGGGCAGCCGAGCTCAGCTGAGCCCTCCAGCACCAAAACAAAACCCACGGGAGCTGGGAAGGAGCTCAAATAAAAACTGAGCAACCAAACAGAAGAGCAGGTGTGGGGCTGGGCTCAGAGCAGAGCTCACCTAGTGTCCTGTGCTGTTTTCTCTGCAGGTTGGGAGCCGCAGGGTGATCCAGTACGGAGCAGCCTTCATGCTGCTGCTGGGCATGGTGGGCAAGTTCAGCGCCCTGTTCGCCTCGCTGCCCGACCCCGTGCTGGGGGCTCTCTTCTGCACCCTCTTTGGTAAGGGGGCTTTGTGCTCCTCTTTGCTGCTTCTGAGCATTTTGCTGTGCTGTTTTTTTGAAGAAAAAGACTTCTCTAAAAGCCGGGTTTTTTGTGTTTAGGGATGATCACGGCCGTGGGTCTGTCAAACCTCCAGTTCATCGATCTGAATTCTTCTCGGAATCTCTTCGTGCTCGGGTTTTCCATTTTCTTTGGGCTCGTCCTCCCGAGCTATCTCAAGCAGAACCCCCTGGTCACTGGTATGTCCTCCTGCTCCTTCACAGCAGCATCTGTGCCTTGTGCTCACATGGACAGTCCATCCAGGTGCAGAGTAATGCAGAGGGTCAGTGAGAGGAAACCCAAATTGTGGAGAAAAACCCAAACTATGCAGACAGTGAAGGCTTTAGGTGCAGACAAGCTGTGTGTGTTCAGAGGAGAATTCATTAGGAGGTTGAGACCTGCAGGGAATGTTCCAGTGGGACACAGCTGAAGCTTTCCTGCTTTTTCTGGGTGCATTGTAGAGCAATGGAAGGAGGCAGTTAACCAGAGAAAAACAAAGGTTGAATGTGGGCTGTAAATGATGTTAAAAGATTAAGGGGAAACACCAAGGCAGAGTTTGGAAGGTGGGAAATTGTTTAGGGGTTGCAACTTTTTGTCACTCAAATTATAAAATCTTCATTTTAGTGAATTCCTTTGCAGGCTGTTAATGAAACTGTAGCTTTGAGGAGTTCACTGGGAAGGTTTTCTGTGTTAATGCTCCCCTCAGCAGTGGTCATGTCAGTGTATGTTACCAGAGATGGACTCAAAGGAAATATTTCACTGCCTTGGGTTTGTTTGGGGTTTTTTTAAACAAAATATTAACTGACTTTTCTTTCCACTATGCCTTCAGACCAGGATTTAAGGGCTTATCTGTCCTGCTGTGAGTGGTTAGAAAAGTAGATCCTTCAAGCTTTATGTGGTTAATGCAGTGTTCTTCCATAACTGGGGCTGTGAATTCTTGCCCCTTTAAAAGATTTATTAAAAGAATTCTATGAGTCCCCATGATTTCGCAATCTGAACGTTTCTTTTTCCATTTCACGTTTTTCTGCTTAGTTCAGATTAGTTGTGTCTGCAGTAGGAACTAAAATGGTGTTTTGTGACATTTTTGTGAGCAGCTGAGAGTTCCTGAGGTTGCATTTTGGGGAACAATGTCCCTGGTGGTGCACTGGGGCGAGTTTCTTCTGCACCAACCCCAAGTGGCTTCCAGAGCCCTTTTGGAGCAAATCCCTCACTGAGCTCAGCAGCAGTGCTCCTGCTTGGCCTGGGTGTAGATCAGCAGGATGTGGATGATCAAAAGCCCAGACAGTTTTCCCTGTTGCTGCAGGAATAGCAGGCATTGATCAGGTGTTGAACGTCCTGCTCACCACAGCCATGTTCGTCGGGGGCTGCGTCGCCTTCATCCTGGATAACACCATCCCAGGTGAGCCCTGCCTGCCTGTCCCAGCCCTGCCTGTGCCCTGCCCTGCCTGTCCTTGCCCTGCCCTGCCTGTGCCCTGCCCTGCCTGTGCCCTGCCCTGCCTGTCCCAGCCCTGCCTGTGCCCTGCCCTGCCTGTCCTTGCCCTGCCCTGCCTGTGCCCTGCCCTGCCTGTGCCCTGCCCTGCCTGTCCCAGCCCTGCCTGTGCACTGCCCTGCCTGTGCCCTGCCCTGCCTGTCCCTGCCCTGCCCTGCCTGTCCCAGCCCTGCCTGTCCCAGCCCTGCCTGTGCCTGCCCTGCCTGTCCTTGCCCTGCCCTGCCTGCAGCGTTCCCTGGGCCACAGCACGAGCAGGACATCCCGACTTTTGGGGCTGCCTGTTTCCAGCAGCAGAGTCCTGACACCTGCCCTTCCTCCACCTGAACGCCTGGAATCCTTCCTAGGTTAAAATTAAACCCCTAAGAGAGCTGATAAAATCCAAACCAGTCTCCAAGACACAGAGTAAAACTGACTTTGAGATCTAAACCTGCTTCCATTCAAGAGGAAAAATTTGCCTTGACTTCCAGTTAAAAAATCTGAGTTACGTGTTTTTCCCTTTTTGAGGAATCTGGGAGATCTTTCCAGAGCTTTGCTGAACTTGGTGGCTGAGCCTTGATGTTTACTTTCAGGCTCTGCTTTAGGCCTGTGTATTCACATAAAGATATCCATGCATATATATATATGTATATATATGTATGTATATATATTCTTTTCTTTTGATTTCTAGGAAGCCCTGAAGAAAGGGGAATACGGAAATGGAAGAAAGGGGTTGGTAAAGGAAGCAAATCCCTGGATGGCATGGAAACATATGATCTGCCTTTTGGCATGAACTTCATTAAAAAATATAGATGTTTCAGCTTCTTGCCCATCAGCCCCACCTTCATGGGATACACGTGGAAAGGCTTCAGGAAAAGCAGTAACTGCAGGAGTTCAGATGAAGACTCAGAAGCTACAGTATAGCCTTAGCTGAAATTATATTATCTAGTTGTAGTCAAAGATGTATTTGCAGTTTCTTGCTGATTAAGAAGCATTAAAATCTATGTTTTGTATATCTGCATTTAAATTCTGGAACCAGAGCTGAGACGGATTTAAAAAAAAAAAGAAAAGTAAAAAAAAAGCTTTTCCTGTTGTGGGTGGTGGGAGCCAGGTCTAGTGTCTCTGTGGCAAATCCTGCTGATTTTGGGAAGTTGTAGAGAGCTGTGCACCTAAGTCTGTTGGTTTGAAATGGGTTTAGGTGGAGATGTGGAGGTGCTGCTGCAAACCATTTGTTTTTATGGTGATTTTATTGAAGCCCTCAGTGTTGGTTATGTCGAAAAAACCAAACCTTGGAGAAGGAGGAGAGGGAAAAGAGAGAAAAGGAAAAATACTTCCTTCTGCTCATGTCAAGTCCCATAGATGCTGTTCTGCCACTCAGTGATTTGCACATTCCATGTTCTCAGTGCCTGGAAACCGGGCTCAGCTGATGCTGGCAAATCATGAGAGTTGAGCTCTGAATGATCTGTGATTTCAGTGGCACATCCAGTGCTCAGACAGGAAGTTTCTGGAATAACTTTGCCCTTGAAAACCGTGGCTGGCTTGGCTGGCTCAGTGCTGCAGCAGCCACTTTATTTTATTCACAGCATTTCTCATTTTTGAACGTTTGCTTTCCCCACCTGGGGATTTCCTTCCGAGGCTGGGATGGGAAACCTGAACTCAGACAGGACCTGGAGGCAGCGTTTCAGTTCGGTGCCTGTCCAGCAGGATGTTTCCTGGCCAGAAATGCTAATTAGCTGAGCAGCTCCAAGCAATTAACAGTTGTTCCCTGCAGGGAAAGCCACGTGCTCCGAATGCTGCCGGCACTCCTGGCTTGGGTTTGAGCAGGGTTTGGTTTTTTGGTTTTTTGTTTTTTTTTTTTTTTTTTTTTTTTTTGCTGATGCTGCACAAGGCTCGCTCTTCCCCTCTTGTGAGGCTTCTCCAGAGGCTGTTTGCTGCTGGGAAGGGGGGTTTGGGACAGCAGAGACACTGCACCTGCCAGCCTCACCCACCGGATGGGTTCACGGGTATTGGGTCCAATCAGGGCACCACTCAGATCTCTTTTTTTGTTCCTGGAATAGTCTCAGCTCTGCTGTTATGTGGGTGTTCATGCTCATCATGCATTCATGATTAACAGTTTTATTCCTGTTTAATGTTCTTACTATTGCAAGTTAGTTTTAGACTTCACTGTGGCCCCAAAAGCATTTTCAGCTGTGGAGATCATCAGGGAAATGTTGTGTAATGTAATTTCAAGGCCAGTAATGCTCTACGGTGCTTGCGTTTTGTATTCCTGGAAAACCATAACAGTAGATCCTGTAACCCCCTGATCTATTTATCCAAGTTTGACTACTGGACAGGAGCACAGGAACTCTGTTTTCTCTAAGTCTGCTCCCAGGGGAATTTGTTCTGGGTTATTGAAGCATGGACGGGTTGGGGTGGGGAGGGCAAGGACAGAGCTTGATGGATCAGTACTGAGTAGTGTAGAGTGGGAATGATTCCGTGGAGATCGTTCTCAGCATGCCATGGCTGTTTCCAGAAACTTTTTATCCCGCTTTTCCCATGTCCAAGCATGCCTTTGTTCCTGCTTCCTTCGGGGAACTTTCAGTAGTTTGCAGTCTTGGTGTCAGTTGGACTCGAGAACTGGTCGGAAGAGTCGTTTTGTAGTAGACGAGGTTGGTTTGCCTGTGAAACAAAAGTCATTTTTGCTCATTTTTCAGTCTTTCCTCTGCAGGTAGTGAGGTGTTGGACACAGTTTGGGTGCGGGGGCCTCTGCTCAGTGGCACAAAGCTTCCAAATTCCCCAGCTTTCTGTGCAACCAAAGATGTGTGGCAGATGTGGGGGGGTAAAAATACCCACACAAAAGGAAAACACAGGTCACAACCTGAGGGGTTGTGGTGATGTCAAATGCCAAAGTTGGTTATCCTGTGAAAGTGGGGAGAGGGAGGAAAAAGATTTTCATTTCCAGCTAACTCCAGAGAGGAGGGGATGAGAGCAGAGTTTGTCTCTGTCGCCCTGTTGAGGGAAATCACAGTGAGTTTTCAGTGGAGATTCCCAAGACACTCAGAGTCCCAGGGCAGCAAATCCAGGATAGTTCTCTCTCCTCCCTGGAGCAGAACACCCCTCCTTCCCCACAGCACTCCTCCAGCAGGTGCAGTCCAATTTTCTGTTGGAGATAATTTTTGGTTTGTGCCCGTTCCCCCTGGCCCTGGGAAGCAGCTGCAATTAGGGTCACTTGTCACTTTGCATCCCAGTGGGTCAGTGGGACAAATCCCCACCTTTTCCCAGGGCGAATGGTGAAAGGTGAGCCCCAGGCTGGGAAGGACACCTGGAAGTGCAGGAAGGATGGGCTGAGGTGGGCACAGGAGCTGTGGGATGAGGAGCTCCCCTGTCCCTTCCTGGGGCTCCTGGAGCCCTCCCAGGGGAAGGAGAGCATTGCTTTTCTTTGGGGGGCGAAATCCCTGAGTTCACCCTGGGTTTGTGCAGGTACAGGAGGGAATTTTCAACCTTAAATCCTTCTCCCACCTTCCTATTTTCCTGGTCCCTTCTTTTCCTGGTCCCTTCTGGGCACGTTCCCAAGTGGCTGCTGTGAAATTCCAGGAAGCTGGGTGCCCGTGGTGGTAGAGGATGAAGCTGTAGTTTGGGGAGCTTTAAACACGAGCTGTGTGTGCTGGGGATGTGCAGGTGTAACCTGACTGGCAATGCAATGCTGGATTTTCCTCTCAGTCCTTCCCTGCCTTTCCAACAGCCAAACTCCAAGCTCCCAGGGAAGGCAGCAGCTGAGAGGTGAGTGAAGAGGCCATGAGAAGTTTCAACCAATTTTGAGAGGGAAGGGCAAATATTCATGGTAGAAATCTCATTTTGTCATATCAGAGATGGTATCAGTGTATACAAAGTAACTTGGGATTTTTGTAATTGATATTCTCTTGTATTTTTTTTAGGTTAAATTAAGGGTTCTTGCTGACATGTTGAAACACATTTTCTAAAGCAAATACTTGCAAATTATGCGTATAGAAATTTAGGTTTCGTAGCTGACAGCTATGACTGATTAACGTTGTCATATTGGAGGGACTTCACCATGTACCTCGCTCAGAAAGCTCAACCTTTTCAACCCCAAATTTGCTTTTGCCTTTTAATACTGACTTGAAATATGACAACTTGGTTTGTACATGAATATTGCAGTATTTTATTTCCATATATTAAGAAAAATAACATTTCCGCTCAGGATAACGGCAGCGCTTTTCCTGGGAGGGAGTGGTATGAGTGTCATGACAATGTCATGTGATGGTAGAATTTCTTCATTGACGAATCTATAGTGGTTGTGTATACTTTATTTACCCATGTTTGTGTTCCTACCCAAAACTGGAGGGTTTTGTTGTTTCCTCCCTGCTGAGCCCTTGGAGCTCCTGGGGCAGAATTGGAGAAAATCCCTCAGTGGTGCCCTGAGGAGCACCATGAGTTTGACCCATCCTTTACACCCCAGAAGTGTGGAAATCTGTCATTTTGGGTGCAAACAGCACTCCAGACCCCTGGTGTGTGCAGCTTTGGCTGAGCCCTGGATGCCTCCACCCCACCTGAGCAGCCTGTGCTTGCCAGAATGGCTGGGTTGATTGTGCAGCGCCTGTGTGAGACCAGCACGACCTTCACCTTGCTTCTTTGTGGCCTTCTTCAACCAAAAGCAGCTTTTTTTCTCCTTTTCCTCTCCTTTTTCGAAGCGGGGGCACTGGGGGGTCACTCGTTTTTTGCAGCAAAGTCCCACTTGGTGCAGTTCCCTGGTTTTGGGGAGCCCTCAGGGCTGGGGCTGTGCCTGGGGGAGATCCCAGGGCTGGGTGAGAGTTGGGATCAGTGGTGGAGCCACCCCTAGCATTCCTGGCTGGAATTGCCTGCTGGGCTGTGGCTGTACAGGGACATCCAGGGTGGCCTCTGCCCTTCTGGGAAATCCTCGTGCTGCCAGTTCAAATAATTCCTGTATTTGTCTGTTTAGAACAACCTCTGGTGTAACAAACTATTGACTGTTCTTAGGCGGTGGGGATAAATTTTGTTTTCTCCATGACTTTTCGTGACTGACTTTGGCTGTAAAACTTTTTTGTTCAACAGCAAAAGTTTATTTTGGGGGGGGAGTTTATTTGATTTTTTTGTTGTTGTTCTTGTTCCAAGATGTGTAATTCTTTTATGGAGGGTTTTTTTTTATTATTATTCTTTTTTTTTCCTAACATTGCTTCATTAAACAACTAAATATTTAAAAATGTAATATTTGGACCAGATGTTGTGAATAATAGTAGATAAAGCTATTTTATTCTGTATTTTTAAAGCTGTTCAGTATAAATAAACGCGGGCATAGATGCAGTGTGGCATTGTGGTGTCACAGTTCCTTTGCTGGAGAATCATGGAATTAGAGCATCCTGAAATGGTTTGGGTTGGAAGAGACCTCAAAGCTCATCCAGTGCCACGGCAGGGACACCTCCCACTGTCCCAGGGTGCTCCAGCCTGGCCTTGGGCACTGCCAGGGATCCAGGGGCAGCCACAGCTCCTCTGGGAATTCCATCCCAGCCCCTCCCCCCCTTCCCACAGAAGAATTCCTCCCTAATTGATTGATTTCTTCCCAATGGATAATTAATTTCAGAATCCAGGTGGTGGCAGGACCCAGAGGTTTTGTAGCAGGTGCTGCCCAAAACCACAACCCCCAAATTCCTTGCAGCTCCCAGATAACCTCACAGCTCTCATCCCACTGCTCCCACCATGTGCACACTGGGATTCCTGGATTTGTGGGGGAGAGGCCCAGCTGCCTTGCCCATTCCTGAGATTCCCTCCCTGCCTATTCTGGGAATCCTGCTCCTTCCTGGGATTCCCTGCCCATTCCTGGGATTCCTGCCTGTCCCTGCTCTCACTGAGGCACCTCCAGGTCCCCATGTGTGGGTGAAGGAGTCGAGTGTCGCCTCTGCTCATCCCCAGCCCTTCAGTCACCTCGTTTCTCTGCAGCAGATTCCAGGTTTAACCCCAGGGCACCGGCGGGTTGTCTGGGAGGGGTTGGGAACTGGGAACACCTGGCTGAGGGTACCCAGCACCCTCAGGTGTCTGCTCATGGCTTTGAGGACATGGGGACACCCCAGCACCTCCCTGAACTTGGATGTGGCCCGTGGTGGAGTGGGATGGGAACTAAAACAGAAAACAATCACCCAAATCCACAGTCAGGGGCTGGGAGCAGCTGTGGGATCAGAGCCAGAGGAGCAGCTGTGAGCAGGGCCAGGGATTTCTGAGCACTCCAGGTTTGTGTCTGTGATGAAAACCTGATCCTAATCCTGGCTAATCCCCTGTGCTGCGGGGTCACAGCTCAGGCAATAATTGTGTTTTCTCCACGTGTCTTGCCCGAATCAGCATCGACCAAGGGCAAGCAGATCCTGGGCAGGATCTCAAAATTTGGGGATTTTCAGAACGGCCGAAACACCCCCACACAGGGGGGGCAATGATGTGAAAGAGACAAGGTCAGAGACGAGGAGAGGCCTTTCCAGAGCCACATCTCTTCCCATCTGGTTTCAGAGCTCCCTAACAGCTCCCAGATGCTCCCACACCAGCATGGGTCCAAGTGTGGGATGTTCTCGGTATTTACTGGCAATCAGCTGAGGGGGCTTTAAGCTCAAACCCTGAGAAGCTGCCAAGGTAGAAAAGAATGGATTTTGGCTGCTTGCTTGGTCTGGGGGGAAATCATTGAATATTGGAGAATTTTGGAGCTGGTGCTTTATTCTGAACCTGACTGAGGTCCTTGGCAGCAGTAAATCCGTCCAAGCTCATGGTTTAAAAGGCATCTGCTGTGATCCCTGTGTGGCGTTTAGCACAGAAACGCTGACTCAGCCTGCAGAACAGGTGCTGTAACTTCCTTTTCGCCTTTTCCTGGGGGGTTTTCAGCAGCCTGAAGGGGTGGAAGTTCTGGTCTCCTTCCTCGTGTTCACCCTGCTGTGGAGGCAGCAGCAGCCTCTCAGCTGCAGGGAGCTCTCATAGGGCAGGAATGGGTCAGGTTCCCTTTATTTGCTAAATAAATCCCCCCATCCATGCTCCAGCCTCCCCCCACCTATGCTCTGATGGCAGCGAGCAGAACATGGCAAAAATCAGGATTTAACCCCAATTCTGTAGCCAAGATCCCCCTGTGTACCCCAAACCCCAGATTTAATTTTATTTTTCTGTTTGCATCCACCCCACGAGCTGAGGGTCAGGGGAAGCTCTCCCTGTGTTTGAGGCCGAATCCCTGGGGTTTGGGGCCAGCTCCATTGTCCTCTCTTCCCACCACAAAGGGCCTCACATCCCTGCCAGCCCTCGAGATGCTGCTGGAATATCAATCCTGACCCGGCCCCGCTCACTTTCGCCGAGTCAGTGCTTCCCTGAGCCAGATGGCTCCTCCAGAACTTCTCATATTTTACATAGAAATCCAAGAAAATCGGGGAAAAAAGGCCTATTTCAGTCTGTGCCTGCAGAGACGCCTGTTTGGCTCAAGCAGCTGCTTTGATTATTTCTTTGTTTTGGGGTTGTTTTTTTTCCTTTCATGTGGGCTGTTTCTAGGCAAATTCCTTAAAAAGAAAAACAGCCCGGAGAAGCCACAAAGCACTGGGAAAGGTCAGGAGCAGACAAAGGGGGAGGGACACGGCCCCTGCTCCTCTGGAATAGAGCTGCCCCCAAACTCTCGCCAGGGCGCTGGGACTGGAGGGGCAGGATGGGACCCTGATCCTGGGAATGCTGAGCGCTGGCTCCAAGGTAACTGTGACCCCCAGCTGCAGCTGCTGCTTCCAGGCAGATTTTACTTTCATTTATTTCCTCCTCCATCCCCTTCTCGGGGGCGGTTTTGGATCTGGATGAGATCCCAAGGCTGACATTGGGCCCCATCCCAACAGCAGAACAGCCAAGGGTGCTGCTTGCATGGCTCTGGCACTGCACATCCCAGGATTTGGGGCTTTTTAGTGCAGAAACAACCGCTCCAGCCTGTGTGATGCAGCCCACAAAGATTCCTCTGGGAATTCTGGACAAAGCTGGAGCTGATTGTAAGAACATTTCCAGCCTGGGATGGGGATTCCTTTGGGATTCTGGCAACGGGGTTAGAGTATCTTTTGGGATTCCTGTTCCTGACATCGGGAATGGGGAATCTTTTGGGATCCTGGTTGTGACAGTGGGGATGGGGTCCCTTTGGAACTCTTTTCCTGGCACCAGGGATGGAGAATCCTTTCAGATCCTGGTCCTGACTCCCGGGTGGAGCCAGGGTGTCCTTTGGGAACCCAGAACCTGCTCCAGGGATGTTGCCGGAGCATTCTTCAGGATGTCCAGGCGGGGACAGCCCGGCTCCCTGAGGCGGCATCCTTTGGGGTCCCCAGCCCTGGCACCCGGAAAGGGATCTCGGAGCCAGGAGGTCCTTCTGGATGCGGGTTCCGGGATGACCCCGGCTGCGGGAGGGGGTGTCCTCCGTGCTGCCACTCCCGGCCCCGCCCGCGCCCCGCCCCGCCCAGGGGCGGCCCTACAGGGGCACCCGCTGCGAGCGGAGCGGCGCCGGCACCGGGTGAGTGTGGGGTGTGGGTGAGATGGGGCGTCCTCATTCCCATTCCCGTCCCCATCCCCGTCCCCATCCCCGTCCCCATCCCCATCCAGCTCTCCATCCCCGCACCCTGCGCGGGGAGCGGCCCCGGGGCTGAGCCGCGCCCCCCCCGCAGCCGCTGCTGCAGCGAGCGGAGGCAAAAACCACCGGGACCGGAGGGGACCCGGCCCCCACCCCCGGGTGTCACCTCGGCTCCCCCCGAGCGCCCTCGGCATCGCCCTCGGGCTGGGCTGGAGCAGCCGCAGCACCCGTGGCTCCCACCCCGGGCACGGCACCTTCTCGCCCCGTCGCGCCCGGGACAGACCCGCCCGCCGCTGTCCCAGGACGAGCCCCTGGGGACACCGGCTCCTCCCGGAGGGCTCCACCCTGAGTGCGGCCAGCGGGTCCCCTCGCCTGTCCCCAAGGGACCCGGCACCCCCGCGGCATCTCCGGCGGCTCCGCCAGCGCTCAGCGCTCCCTCCTTCCCCTCTCCCCTTCAGGACGGAGAAATCGGGCTGGAGAACAATAGCGGCGCTGGAAAACAATGGAGCAGCCGCACCTCCCCGCGTAGGGATGCGGGCCGGACGCGGGGCAGGAATCGCAGCCCAGGAGTAGCGGCCGGGCCGGAGGCACCGCCGGCAGCAGCGCGGCTGCTCCAGCGCAGGATCCGCGGGACGGGGTGAGCGCTCGGCCGCGGTCTCCGCTCCTGCCCCGACCCCGCCGGGGGCAGCGGCCGCGGAGGCTCCGTCCCCTCCGGGCGATGCTTTGGTACCGAGCGCGGAGCGATCGAAGCCCTCTTGGGCCGGGTAAAAGCCGCCCCGGGCCGCGGGGAGGCGGAGGCGCTGGTGCAGGAGCGAACATCGCGGCCTCCCCGGGGACCGGGATATTCCCACAATCCCTCGGCTGCGCCAAATCCGCGCTCCCGCCCCAGCGGGAGATGCCGGGGATGCTGCCGAGGCCCCCGGGTGCTGCGAGGGGGTGGGACCGAAGCAGCAAAACCTCCCAAAAACGCAGATTTCTTTGCGGGAGCAAGGAAGAAAATCACTGTCCTGCTGAAAACATGGTTTTGGGGGGGTGGGGGGGTGGGTTTGCCACTTTTTTCCTTGTTTTGTTGAGTTGGATCTGGAAGATGCACAGCTCGGCAGAAGCTGTGAGGGGCTGTGGATGCGGCCACGCTGGGCTGCAGGGATGCAGGAAGGGGTTTCGGGAGGTTGTTTTTAGGGAGGGGAACAAGTCTGGGCTCCGTGGGGTCCGTCAGACCTGGGGGCAGCCGAGAGGATGCAGAGAGGGCCGGAATCCTGGTTTGACCTGGAGCTGAGCTAAAAGCGCTTTGCAAAGCACCAGGAGAGGCTCAGGCCGGGCAGGGCACGGAGGAAACGCGTCAGCTCCGAGGGGGAAACTGAGGCACGGGGGTGCCGGGAACGGACACGGCCCCAAACTGCCACGGTTGAGCAATGGAGCAACTTCCACTTTGCCAGCGCTTTGATTTGGGTGATTTCCAGCCTTTTCCCGGGTACTTTCCAGCCTTTTTCCAAAGCCACGGCGGGATATCAGGGGTCGGCAGTGCCTGGGGGATCTCCAGGAGCCGCCTCTCTCCTCCACTCCCAGCCTGGTTCTCTCCAGACCCAAAAAAGGAAGAATTTGCCCCTTTGCTCAGCGCTAGGAAGGGGATGTGATGACGGAGGCGAAGGTGGCAGAGCCGGGGCGTAAACAGGAAACAACTCCTCGGCACGGTAGGATGAACCTGCATCTTGGAGCTCCCCTTCCACCCCCAATTTTGCCTTTTTTTATGGCTGCAGTTCATCCCAGTGTCCCCTTCGAGGGAATTGGGACTTTGGCTCTTCCCTTTGGCATGACCAGGATGCTCTGGAGCAAAGCTCTGAGTGGTACCAAAGGCTCCACCCTGGCCTGCTCTAGAAAGATTTTTTCCACTCACTTTGGTGTTTTTGGCACTATTTTCATATCTGCTGTGTCCTTTAATCCTCCAGAACGTCCCCAGAGTTTTTCATCTCTTGCCAGGGGACACCCACGAGGGGGATGCTCATTGCTGCCATTCCTGCATCTCACAGCTGGGAACACCCAAATTTGAGGCCCCACACGCAGCTGCTGCCCCCCAAAACCACAAGGGTTTATCCCAAACCCATGAGCCAGCTGTGAAATCCCATTTTTTATGGATAAACAGGATTATTCCTGGGTTTGCTCCCTGTGGAAGGATGGATGGAGGCAGGAGAGGCGGCTGCTGGCTGCAGGAGGAGGTTGGTGCTGGATTTTGCCAAGTTTTGCCCGGTTTTGCCAAAATACTCATGCAGCTCCTCAGGAAATCCAAAGCTTTGTCAGCTCTTCCGCGATTTTTCGGCGCCGACTTTTTCTTCTGCTTTTTCTCCGGGCAGACCTAGAGCCCCAGGGCTGGGCTGGGCTGATTTCCTGCCCTTCCCCTCCTGCTCCAGCACGGCCTCGTGTGGGGTTTCAAACCTGCCACAGAATATTTTTGCCATTGCCAATCCATTTTTTTCTCAGGGATTTATCCCAGCGTGCGGGATGGAACCCCGGGATCGCTGCCGTGTAAAGGCTTTAGGGTTTATATTCGTCCTCTGACAGGGTTTACCACCTTGGCCTGGATTTTGGTGTGGATTTTGGTGTTTTTCTTTCAGGAAAAGGGTTTTTTTGGTCCCAGGGAACCGGGAGGAAGCACATGGCGATGTGGGAGGTGGAAGAAAGCAGTGGCTTGTGGAGCAAATGCTTTTTCTTCACCTCGATTTCTCCTCTAGGAGAAGGGAGGGAGAGAAAAGACCCTGAAAAATGAAATCCTGTCTAGGATTTCAGCCAAGGAAAAGCACGACCCCAGAAGTCCTTTCTTTGTCATTCAAGACCATCCCAGTCCCAGATTCCAAGGTCTCTTTGACACCAAACTGTTCTGAACCCATGGGCCCCCCAAGGGCTGCACCCCAAACCCCATTTTAATTCCATTTCATATTGCTCAAAAATCCCACTTGAGACCTAAGCCAGGGTCTGCCCCAAGCTGGGATTCTGGGGACTTCCCAAGTGTTTGCATGGCCCAAAAATCCAGCTGGCATCATTAAAAAAAGCTGAAGAATCATCCCAGCATCTCTGCCTGCTTGGAAAATTCATCCCTGGTTCCAGCGCTGGCCTTGGGATGGCCCAAGGACACAGCTGGGCCTGGACTCGCACGTTTGAAGTTTTGTAGGATGAAAAAAGAGGAAAATAATCGGAGAAAAGGAAGAATTCCCATTTACCCCCCTCCCTCCCGCAGCTTTGGCGTCCCTGGGACACCCACGGATGCTCCAAATGCAAATGCAGCGTAAGGCTATCTCCGCAGGGATTAAATTTTCAGTGAGTTCGCGGCGCCTCCGCCCTTATCTGATCTCCCTCCTTCCCAGGAGCAGCCGCACCGAGCCCCGCCCGCACCTCCCGAGCCTTTTCCAGCGCCGGGGGCTTTCTTTTTATTTTTCATTTTAATTTTTATTTATTTTTTTGGTTTATTTTTATTTTTATTTTTACTATTTTTTTTGTTTTATTTTTATTTTCGGGAATTTCTATTTCTATTTCTATTTCTATTTCTATTTCTATTTCTATTTCTATTTCTATTTCTATTTCTATTTCTATTTCTATTTCTATTTCTATTATTTCTATTTTTCCATTTCTTTTGATTTCCCCGTTCTCCCCCGCAGCTCGGCTCCCATGCCCCGGGATGGAGCTCGGCCGAGGGGACGCGGTGCCCTGCGGGAAGGACAAATTCATCTCCAGGTGAGGTCCGGGAGCGTGGCCCGGGGATGGGCGGGGGGGCTTGGGGAATTCCGTGGGGATGGGGGGGTGCTGTGGGATGAGTTATCTGTCACCTGGAATGGGTAATAGAGTGGATAACGTGTTATCTGTAACCTCAAATATACAATATATAGTAATATCTAATAATATCTGACAGCATCTAACAGTACCTAACTATATATAACAATATATAACTATATATAACTATATATAACAATATATAGCATGTAACATATGATGATGTCTAACAATATCTAACAACATCTAACAATATAAAGCATTGTAAAGACATTATAAATAGCATTATAAACACAATATATAACATTATAAATATACTATATAACATATTATCTGTGACCAAAACATACAAGATTTCTTTGAGCTAAATATATATTAATTTTATATATATAAAATATATAGCATATAACAGTATCTAGCAATATCTAGCAATATATAACAATATATAATATATAACAGTATATAACATTATAAACACACACATATATATATAACACATTTATATATAATATATAACATTATGAATACAATATAAAACATATTATCTATGATCTATAACATACAAGATTTCTTTGAGCTAAATATATTATATTGATTTTATATATTATAAATATATATTATATAATATATAGCATATAACAATATATAGCAATGTATAATAATATCTAATAATATAACCATATAAAATATATATCAGTATTTAACATTATAAACGCAATCTATAACATTATTAAAAGGCAATTTCCTTAACAAGAAAATGGGTTTTGGTGGGATTTTGAAATTTTCCTTAGGAGTGTGGCCAAATGCTCTAAACCTCCCATTAAAAATGGGCTTTGCTGAAAAAGTCCTGATTAATGATCAGCTTAAAAATCCTGATTAATAAAGAAATTAATTAATAATTATTAATCAGAACTATTAACAATAGTTCTTTTATTCTTTGGGAAAGAAGTGAAACAATTCCTAGGATTTAAGGGAGATTGAAGAGGAACTAAAGCAGGAATGTGAAATTTCCCCCTCTCCTACCCCAAATCTCGGTGGTTTGGGCTGATTTAATTTGTTTTGTTTTTATTTTCATATCTGTCTTTTTTTTCCCCCACCTTTAAAATTGTATTTCTTTTTATTTTATTTATTTTATTTTAATTTATCTTGATTTTTGCCCTTGTTTTTTGTTTTATTTGTATTTTATCACGAGTTTGGCCCCGGAGCAGGGCTCAGAGTTTTGATGTGACCTCCCCGCCTGGGCTCACTTGTGACTCTGGTGTGACCCCCAGAAAACTGATTTCTTTTGCAGCCTCGTGACCAACTGCCCCAGCTCTGATGGGTTTTTTTGTGCCTTTTCAGAAGATTTGTGGAGATACGGTCACGGGGAGCTTCTCCCCCTAAATGTGGGTGCAAAATATTGGACCCCCAGCAAAAAGCTTCAGTAAGGGAGGTCTGGGAAGACCCAAATGTGCCTCAAATAAAGCGATTTTTGGGTCCCTGGCAACACAGCGGGTTCCTCAGCCAGGGAAGCAATTCCTGTTTTTTCCCTGGATCTGCCCTGAGCAGCTCAGCGGTCACTGGGTGGTGCCTACAGCATCTTCCCCCTCACCCCAAACCCCACCTCAGCATTTTTTTCCCTCATTTTTTCCCCAGGAATGAGCTGCTCCTGCACCTCAAGACCTACAACATCTACTACGAGGGGCAGAACCTGCAGCTGCGGCACCGGGAGGTGAGAAATGCCCCGGGCAGGGGGAATTGAGGGAACTGAGACAGAGAATCAGGGACTCCTGGGATGGTTTGGGTGGGAAGGGACCTTCAATCAGTCCTGTCCCACCCCTGCCATGGCAGGAACGCGTTCCTCTGTGCCAGGCTGCTCCAGCCTGGCCTTGGACACTTCCAGTGATCCAGGAGCAGCCACAGCTCCTCTGGGAATTCCATCCCACCCCCTTCACTCAATATTCCTTCCCCAAATCCCATCTAAACCTGCCCATGGAATCCTGGATTGATTTGGATTGGAAGGGACCGTCCAGTGCCACCATGGGCAGGGACACCTCCCACTGTCCCAGGCTGCTCCAAGCTCATCCAACCTGGCCTTGGACATTCCCAGGGATACAGGGGCAGCCACAGCTCCTTTGGGAATTCCATCCCAGCCCCTCCCCACCCTCCCAGCCAAGAATTCCTTCCCAAAATCACATCTAAACCTGGAATGGTTTGGATGGGAGGGGACCTTAAGGATGATCTCATTCTGTGGGTGGATATGGACACCTCCCACCACCCCAGGGTCCCCCAAGCCCTGTCCTTGGGCTCTGTAAACTGGGGAGACTGGATCTGATGGATCCTCTCTGAGATGGAATTGGTCCCCGAGGTCCCTTCCTGTTTCCGTGTCCCGAGTTTTCCGTGGTTTGTCCCAGCGAAGCCACCCTGGCTGTCCCCAGTCCTGGTTTCCCTCAGCACAGCTCCCAGGAGGATCTGCCCCTTACCAGCCCCAGGAGCAAGAGGGAGCCCAAAAGGTCCTAGAACCACAGAAAATTTGGGTTGGAAAAGACCTCCCAGGCCCCAATCCCCACCTTTTCCCTGGGCTGCTGATCCCTGTGTGTGCTGCAGGAGGAAGGGGAGCTGATCGTGGAGGGGCTGCTGAACATCTCGTGGGGGCTGCGCCGCCCCATCCGCCTGCAGATGCAGGACGACAACCAGCGCATCCGCCCGCCACCCTCCTCCTCCTCCTGGCACTCGGGCTGCAACCTGGGAGCCCACGGGTGAGTGACGGGCACAGGCAGCCCCAGAAACAGCAGGCACCCCAAAAACACAGCCTCAAAAATACAGAGAGCCTCAAAAATATACAGACAGCCCCAAAAATACACTCAGCCCCAAAAACATAGACAACCCCAAAAACACACTCAGCCCCAAAATACAGGCCCCAAAATACACTCAGATATCCCAAAAACACACTCAGTCTCAAAAATACAGAGAGCCTCAAAAACACGCAGAGACCCCCAAAAATACACAGTCTCAAAAATACACAGCCCCAAAAACATGCACAGAGCCTCAAAAATACACAGCCCAAAAAACAAGTAGGGATCCCCAAAAACACACACAGCCAAAAAAAACATTCAACCCCCAAAACAGGCAGAGAGCCCCAAAAATACACAGCCCAAAAACCACACAGGGACCCCTAAAAACACACAGAGACAGCCACAAAGCAGGCAGGCGCCCCCCAAAAACACAGACACACACCTCCAAAACCACACAGCCCCAAAAACATCCCCCAGCCTGTCAGGGTCAGGGTTTGCTGGTTGCACCCCCAGCTGCCTCCTCCAGATGTTTTGTCCCAGCTGGAATCGGCAGCTGGGGGGGGGGGGGGGCAGGGATGAGGGGCAGAGATTCCCTGGATTGTCGTTCCCTCTGTGGCCCCACATGGACAGGGACACACGGACAGGGACACACGGACACACGGACAGGGACACACGGACAGGAATATCCATGAGCCCTCTGTCCTCTCCAGGTCCGTGCTGAAGCCCAGCACGCTGCCGGACATCCCGGTGACGGACGGGGACACCGCACCCAGCGCGGAGAATCCCGGGAAAGGCGCAGGTGAGCCGGGCTCGGACCCGCCGGGATCGCTCCTGGTGCTCGGGAGCAGCTCCGGTTTTATTCGGGAAAACACAAACCAGGCTTTGTCGTTCACTCCAGACTCAGTTTCCCATCCTGCTCCAGCCCCAAAGCACCTTGGATTATTTCATTCAGTTTTTCCCCGGATGGCCCAAAACTCGATAATCTTTTCCAAGCCAAATGATTCCCTGATTCCCAAGGGGTTTTTTCTTGGGAAGGGGCGGAAGTGAGATGTGGTGGAGCTTGGAAAGGACCGAGGGGATGGAGCAGAGATCCCTCGTGGGATTGCAGGGCAAAGGAGGAAAAGGAGGATGTTGGAGCTTCCCCTTCCCGTTTCGGGAAGAAGAATGGGAGCACTGGGACACGTTACCATGGGGAAGTCATCGCTGCGTTTGTCCCCAGGGTTTGTCCCCTCCCGGCTCCTCCTCTGCAGAGGGGGAAGAGCCTCGTTAACCCCTTGTTCTCAGGAGCGGGGCGCAGGCTGTCCCAGCGGGAATCCCAGGGAAAACCTGCTGCATGCATTTCGTTCAACTCTGGCAGATGTTCTGGGTTTTGGGGTATTTTTGGGGGGGTTGAGAAGGATGAGATCATCCTTTCGAGAAGAGCTGAGCCAAACTTGATCCATGAACTCCAATCCGTGATCTTCCAACTTTTTCCTTTTTCTTTTTGCTCTCCCCACTCACAACACTTTTCCTCCCTTAATCAAATCTTTCCCAGGCAATGCTTGCCCCATGTCACCCCAGCACGATTCCCCTCAGCTTTATGGCCTCAACCCTCTGCCAGCATGCAAGAAAAAAAAGCCTTTTATTACATCTTTCCCTAAAATCCAGTAAAAATCAGTGCCTGGCGTGCGTGCACAGCTCCCTGGGAGTGCTCTGTCACTGTGTGTGCAGATGGAGCAGCTCCTGCCCGAGATTTCTCCCTGCTGCAGACACGCTTTGGATTAAAACACCCAGAGCTAGAGCCTGAGAGGTTCATTAAAAATGGATGAAGAGCTGGTTTATAATAATCTGGATCCAGGCCAGTTTTCATGCAGAGATCTGAGGCTCTGCCCTCGTTTGCCTGCTCTCATTAAAGGGAAGGAGAGCAGAGAAAGTTAAATTATGGAAAAGAGGGAAGATGCTCGAGTTCCCGGGAGAAGGGGTTTTAGCCAGGTGGCAGCAGGGATTTAGGTGGTTAATTCTGAATTAATTACCTTCCTTGGGAGCTGGGGGAGAATAAATCGGTTGCTGCGGTTCAAACGTGTCCTGGGAAGTTTGCAGGGGTGAGAAGTTTGTTCTTGGGGTGAGGATTTCTGCATTCAAGGGGGGATTCCCAGCCGCAGTTTTGCAGCAGGAAAATTCTGGAATCACGGAATCCCCTGGGTGGGAAGGGACCAAAAGGATCTTTGACCCACGACACACCAACAGTCCCACCCTGTGCTGGGAGTGTTGCCCAAAATCTCCTGGAGCTGCAGAGGAGAACCCCGGGCGACTGTCCTGATCTGTGCATCCCTGGGAGCGTTCTCCAAACGCTGCCCAGAGGAGAACCAGGGCGCTCCCCAGTGTCCCCAGCGCCCATGCCCAGGGTCCCGTGGGTGTTTTGCAGCCCTCAGGCCGGCAGAGGAGGCTCCACAGCTGATGCGGACCCGCAGCGATGTCGGGGTCCGGCCCCGCGGCAGCGCCCGCACGCCTGGCGAGCAGCGGCGGCTGCGCCGGCACCGCTTCTCCATCAACGGCCACTTCTACAACCACAAGGTGAGCCCACCCTGCCTTGGGGGCTGGCTTTGACGTTTTTCAAACTCTCTGCTTCCTGGTGTGTGACTCTGAGACTTCACGTTAGGTGTGTACTGGTGTGAAAGCAAAACCAGTGAGAGACTCCAAGGCAAAAAAAAGAGAAAAACAAAATGCATACAATAGTAGAAAAGAAAAGCACTGACAGAGTCAGAATACAAGCTGACACCCCGCTAGTTGGGGTGGTGGTAGCAGTCCAATGAAGTGCTCTTGTTGAAGTAGTGATCCTGTAGAAAGGTCTGGTAGCTCTTGGCCTCTGGAAACCAGGGGTAAGAGCTGCTCTGCTGTTCCAAATGTCAGATTTTATCCAGGTAGGAAATGCTCGGCTCCTGCCCCTGGCTGGAGCATCTCCCCATGGGATGATGGAATTTTATCAGCCCTGCCCTGGGACTGCATGGCCATGAACAGGAGAGATCTCCTGGAGGGAGGATGGGCTGTGGGCAAGATAAAGAACACTGCAACAGCTGGGTGAACAGCTGGAACATGAACAGCAGAGATCCCCACAGAGGTCAGGATCACTGCCACAGCTGGGTGAACAGCTGGAATATGAACAGCAGAGATCCCCACAGAGATCAGGATCACTGCCACAGCTGGGTTAACAGCTGGAATATGAACAGCAGAGATCCCCACAGAGAACCTGTATTGCAACCCAGGACAAGGTGTTAGTGAGTTCTCTTCACAGGATATTTAGACAAAACAATTCCTTCCCAGCTAGAGAATCAAGGAAAACTGGTACCAAAAAGCAGAAACAACTGCGAGGGAAAGGGGGAAAGCCAAGGGCTGAGATTTCATAGCCTGGGGCTGTGGTTGGACAATTGACCCCAATGTGTAGAAGAACCAAAACTTGTAAAAGTGTAAAACTCATGACCAGGATCCATCTTGGATTGGACTTGAGTGCAGCCCCGGCACTGCCCAAGGTGAATCCTTTCAATAAATACCGATTTTATCCCTTTAGCTCTGCCCAGTCTCTGTTCCAGCTCAGCCTCTCCAGGCTCCAGACCCTTCCAGGATCCTGCTGGGATCCTGGCAGGGCGCTCAGAGCTGTTTGTGTCCCGCAGACCTCGGTGTTCACGCCCGCCTACGGCTCCGTCACCAACGTGCGCATCAACAGCGCCATGACCACGCCACAGGTGCTCAAACTGCTGCTCAACAAATTCAAGGTGAGGCCTGCAGCCTCCCCTCAGTGCTCCTGGGCTGCTCTGAATGCAGCCTGTGCTGTGTTTAAAGTAAATATATTTATATATTGTATGTATAAAACCTGCAATCGGACTTAATATTTATCTATATCTATATCTATTAATATCAAGGTACTAATGTTTATGTTAATGTTAATATTAATACTACTGTTCCTATTCATATTCTTATTTTCTATCTATATTTCTATTCGTATTTATATGTGTATTCCTATTTACACAGATACAGATATTTACATTTCTAAAAATCTTTATATTATATATATGTAATTTGCATCCAGATATTATATATATGAATTTTTAAATATAAATATTTATATTATATATATAATATCTTTACATTATATATATAAAATCTTCATTCAGATTATATGTATATACCTGGATTTCTATATATAAATCTTTATATGTATAAAATATGCATTTAGATATTTTAAAATATATACAATTTTAATATAAATTTTATATATAAAATTATATGTAAATATTTTAACATCTAGTAATACATATAATTTTTATATAAAACTATTTTTAATAAAATAATTCCATATACAATCTATACCCTATATGTATATATATATATACCTGTCCCTTCAGCAGAGCTTTGTATCTCCCCCCAGATCGAGAACTCTGCAGAGGAGTTTGCTCTGTACATGGTGCACACGAGCGGAGGTGAGTGCCCCAAATTACCCCGGGTGTGAGCACCCAAACGTCTGGATGTGAGCACCCAAACCCCTGAGTGTGAGTGCCCCAAACCCCTGGACATGAGCGCCCCAAACCCCTCGATGTGAGTGCCCAAATCCCTGGACATGAGCACCCCAAACCCCTGGGTTTGAGCACCCTAAACCCCTGGGTGTGAGCATCCCAAACCCGTGGACATGAGCACCCCAAACCCCAGGGTGTGAGCACCCCAAACCACTCGATCTGAGCACCCCAAATCCCTGGGTGTGAGCACCCAAACCCCCATCTGGGATCGCCCCAAACCCCTGGATATGAGCACCTCAATCCCCCGTCCAGGAGAGCCCCAAAGCCCTGGACTTGAGCACCCCAAACCCCTGGATGTGAGTTCCCCAAACCCCTGGATATGAGCACCCAAACCCCAGTCCGGGACCACCCGAAATCCCTGGATGTGAGTACCCCAAACTCCCAGACATGAGCACCTCAAAACTCTGGATGTGAACTCCCCAGACCCCCATCCGTGAGTGCCCCAAACCCCTGAACACGAGCACCCCAAAACCCCATCTGGGAGCGCCCCAATCCCCTAGACATGAGCACCCCAACTCCCGTCCGGGAGCGCCCCAATCCCCGCGGCGCTGCCCCTGGTTCCCGGCGCTGCCGGTGCCCAGCCCTCGGTTCTGGCATTGCAGAGAAGCAGAAGCTGCGCGGCAGCGACTTCCCCCTGCTCGCCCGCATCCTGCAGGGCCCCTGCGAGCAGGTGTCCAAGGTGTTCCTCATGGAGAAGGACCAGGTGGAAGAGGTCACCTACGACGTGAGTGTCACCCTCAGGTGGGCTTGGAAAAACCCGGGGGGTCACAGGATCGTGGAGTGCTTTGGGTTGGAGGGACCCAAAATCCCACCCAGTGCCACCCCTGCCATGGCAGGGACACCTCCTGCTGTCCCAGGTGGCTCCAAGCCCCATCCAGCCTGGCCTGGGACACTGCCAGGGATCCAGGGCCAGCCACAGCTTCTCTGGGAATTCCATCCCAGCCCCTCCCCACGCTCCCAGGATGGAATTTATCCCCGATGAGCAGATGCGTGCTGGGGCTGCAGGAGCTGCTCTGCTCCTGTCCCTCCGTGGAAACTCCCGATGTTTCGGGAAATTCCTTGTTCTGTGTTCCAAGAGCAGCTTCCAGCTGCCAAGCAGCCCCGGCCCCGTTGTGCCATCCCGAATCTGATCACGCTAGACCGGTTTCAGAGGCAGAATTGTTGTTTTTCCAGCCGGGTGGGAGCGGCTCCCTTGTGCCATCTGCCGGCTCGCCAGGCCGGCTGTGCTCTGAAATCCCGGCTCAGACCGGGCACTTTTGGGGTGAATTTGGGCTTAAGCAGCTCTGAGACTCTGGGGATGCTCAGACAGAGCTGCCTCTCGCAGACAGGGGGTGAATTAAAATAAATAAACCTTAGGTCGAGCTTTTTTCCAATAATTACCCAGTGCTCGTTTGTTTGCACGATCTGATGGTCACAAACATCTTTTCTCTAGGGTTTACTGCAAAATTTTGGGATCCTTGGTTAAATCTAAGGAGAGGGTGGGGTGGGGTCAATTCATCACCCTCTTCACCATTTCCTGCTGCTCCTCTCCCACCCAGGTCGCCCAGTACATCAAATTCGAGATGCCCATCCTCAGGAGCTTTATCCAGAAGCTGGAGGAGGAGGAGGATCGGGAAGTGAAGAAGCTGAAGCACAAGTACGTGGGGCTGGGGGCGATTCCGGGAGGGAAGGACATTCCTGGGGTGCTGTTTTGGTCCCAAAAAATTGATTTGTGAAGCCCTGCATCTCCATGTGGATGCATGTGAGGTTTGCATTATTCCAGGGTTTTCTTGGACGCTGAAAAAACCCCTTTTTCCTTTGTGCTCCAGGTACTCCATCCTGCGGCTGATGATCGAGCAGAGGCTGGAGGAGATTTCCGAGGGCCCGACAGCGATGTGAGCGTCCGTGGGATGTGCTGCACCAAATCCCAACCCCAAAACGCTCCTGGTGTCCATCTGGACAGCTCCAGCCCCGAGCCAAACCCCCTCCCACGCCTTCACCCCCGCAGAATCCTCGGGGGCTCTTCCCAGGAAGAGCTGGCGGCAGCTTCAGCCAAAACCTCAAATCCCTGGAAAACACAGGGAGGAAAAAGAAAAGAAAAAAAGAAAAACAACAAAAAAAGAGGAAATCTGTGAGCAGCACAAAGGCAAGGATGGGGCTGAGCGAGGGCTGCCAGCATTCCTGAGCTGGAATTCTGGGGGCTCAGTTTGGAAATGCCAGACATGGCTCCTGGTGAAGGACCTGCTGCAAGAGAGCACAAAAAATTCCTCTTTTTTTTTTTTTTTAGAGAAAAGCACATTCCTACCGCAATAATTCACAGGTTTTGGGAAGATTTTGTAAATCCGAAGGGTTGGCTGAGATTTTTAGGCTCACAGGTGGATTTCCAGCACAGGAGAAAATCCCATTTTTTCCAGCACCTTCCCCAAACCTGCATCTGGTTGCGCAGCGCCCTCTGTCCCCCGCTCTAATTTGCACTAATATTTAGGGATTTTTAAGAAAACCACGATGTCAAACCTCTCTGGTAGCTGTAAATGCCAAATAGCACTCGCAGGGATGGCTGAAGGCCTCGAGCATCTCGAGGGATGCTGGATGGGAAAGGGGGAAAGGCAGGAGGAGGGGGAGGCAGAAATAAAGAGGATTTTATTTTCCAAATCTCATTTTCCAGTGGTGCCAGCAAATTATCCTGGTGAAACCAGGACCAGACTGGTTCCATCACCACCAGCAGCTGGAAAACCTCTTTCCTCCCAGGCTAAACCAGCAATATCCATTTTATACCTCGATGTCAACTAAACCTCTGACTTTCTCCCCCTCCCTTTGAGTTTTTGAAATGCATCTTTGTAATTTTTTTTTAATTATTATTTTAATGGTACCTTTTCCACCTTTAACTCATGTTTGGGAAAGTGTTGTACAGCGAGAGGAGCTTTTGATGTGTTTGAAGGATGATTGTGGCACTGCTGCGTGGATTAACAAGGAAATAAAATAAAATATGTAGCAACTTAATGCAGAATGAAACCCCCGAGTCAGAGCCTAGCTTGTCCAAAATAAATCACTTTGTGTGGATAGAAATGCCATGGAAATGAGTAAAAAATTAGGAAAAAGAGTAAAACCTGCCTGAATCCCAGTGGAGAAATTTCCCAAGGAGAAATGCTCTCACCTTCTGGATTTACAGAATCATGTCTACATTTCTGGAGGATTTTTGAGGAATTGGTGTGACAAGCTCTGAACTCTTGTGTCCTTTAAGGACAGCTGGATCAAATAACCCCTCTGAGCTCCCTGGAGTGATCTGGTGAAGCAGAGAAATTAATTAATTAGCTAAACACTCCAAATCTTGGAGTGTGCACAGGAGCCACGCACGGAGGAGTTATAATTCTGATAATATTGGGAATATTATGCAGCCCTCAGGATGATTTATCCCCAGGCACCGGGGGCCGGCAGGCTCCATCCTCTGGGTATTTCTCCCGTTTTGGCATCCTGGGAGCTGAGCTGCCGCTCCCGCAGGGTGTCCCGGCTGTGCCCGGGGCTCAGCCAGCCCCCCGCGTTATCCCTCCCCGCGCAGGAGGGGCAGCACTTCCCGCTCATCCCACCGGGAAAAGTCCGCAGCGAGCCCAGCCCGGCGGGCACAGACGGGAGGAGCCAGCACCGGCCCCGGCACACGGGTAAGGGGAGCACCCTTGGATTTGTAGGGTGAAAAGAGAAGGAATTGGGTGCAGAGAAAGCTGAAAAGCAGAAGGGTTTGGCGCACACCTGAGCTGCAGGTTGGGGTGCGGAGAGGAGCCCCGGGATGCTTCAGTTGGGATTTTCCCTGGCTGGTGATCCCTAAGTTTGGGGAAGTAGAGAGGGGGGGAAAATAGGAAGGGAAAAATCCTTGCGTCGGGATTTTGTGTGGGATTTGCCTCCGGTTTTGTGGTGTTTCCAGCGGTGGTGCAGCTGCCAACAGCAGGAAGGGGGACACTTCTCTGCACCTTCTTTAAAAGAAGTCAAATAGCTGGAGGAGCTGGGCAGGAAAAGCAGGCAAATTCAACGAATCAAGGCTGATTTTCATTTTTGAAGCTCTGGGTTTGGAAGGGGGGGTCAGGCCTGGCACCTTCCAGCGGGGAGGGAATCGCTGACACAGCCGGGGCTGCCGGCCAGGGGGGCTCTGCTTTGTCAAAAGCTTTTGTCAACACCGCCACTGCTGTTCCGGGGATGATTTCGGGCCCGCGATGGCTCAGCAGCTTCAGCACAATGAGTCTGTCTGCTCAGCCGGGGGCTGCGGGGGCGGGACGGGGCCAGGGTCTCATCCCGGGGCTCCTGAGCTCCGCAGCGGGCTGAGGGGAGTGGAGGCTTTGGGGGAATTTGGGGCATTGGGAGGGTTTGTTTGCCCCACGGTGCCCACCCTCCCTGCTTGGTAAAAGTATGGGATGAGGTAAAAATGTGCAGTAATGCGTTAAATCACAGACTCCTGGAATGAGGTGGGTTGGGAGGGGCATTAAAGATCAATCAGGCCAACCCCTCGCCATAGACAGGGACACCTTCCACTGGAATGTATTAACTACACATCAATATAATATATAAAATATGGACGAATACATAAAAATATAATCAAATTATATACTTATTAATATCATAATATAATACTATATAATACACATTATCTATTATTATATATTAATGGTCTCTATTAGAAATTACTGGTTATCGATCACATATTGTTATATAATATGTATATAATATATACATAATTATGATATAGATGTTACATAATTCTATATTATATATACGTAGTGACCTGACAATAAATGAATATACAAATAAATAATAGAGATAATATCTAGAGATAATATATTGAGATAATAGAGATAATGTATAGAGATAATATACTGAGATAAATAGAGACAATATCTTGAGATAAAAGACACTGAGGTTAGCTTGGTGCTAATAACACCAAGTTTGGGGGTTTGATCCCTCCCTGCGTGTGTCACTCACAGAACTAGAGACACGGAACCACGAACTGTCAGACACACAGACTCAGACTCACGGACCCACAGACACACGGACTCACAGACACACGGACCCACAGAATTACGGACCCATAGACTCACGGAATCACAGAATGAACCAGGTTGGAAAAGACCTTTGAGGTCCCCAAGTCCAACCTGTGACCCAACACCTCCCCGTCAACCAATCCACCGAAGAGTTGCACTCGATCCTTGCGGGTGCCTCCCAACTCGGAGGTGACTCAGCGAGGTGTGAAATGCGTAAATGAAACACAAAAAGCACCTCAAACCAAGAACTCCGTTAAAGGCGGGCGGGCTGGCGCTGCTCGGGGCCGGGATCTCCGCTCTCAGCGCCCCTCGTTGCTCCGCAGGTGGGGCAGGATGCGGCCCCCGGACCACGCGTGGTGCTGGGCGGTGATGCTGCTGCTCGCCCTCCTCAGCGACGCTGCCGGCGGCCGCCGCGGGGCCGGCGGGAGGAGCGGGGCCGGCGGAAGGAGCCCCGGGACCGGGGGGTTCCGCGGGGGCTTCCGCGCCGTGTCCCGAGGCGGGGGCGCCCCGGGCCGCGGCTCCAAGGTGGCCGGAGCCATCGCGGCCGGCGCTGCCGCGGGCTACGGGATGGGGCTGCTGGGTCGCCCGCGGCCGTCCCGCCTGGGTCACGGCATCCCGGCGGCGCGGCAGCCGCCACCCGCGGGCGGGTTCCACGCCGGGGGCTGGCCCGAGCTGGGGGGCAAGCGGGGACCCCCCAGCAGAGCCCCCGGGGAGCGGCGCGCTGGGCTCGGGCTCGCCCTGCTCCTGGCATCGGGCGCCTGCCTGGTCAGCCACGGGCTGCAGCGCTGAGAGGAGCACGGGGACCCCCGGCCGGCCGCGCCCGCCGGCCTTTCGGAGAGAAATGACTGCCTGGGGGATTGGATGTGGCTTGGGGAGCGGGGAGAGGCTGGGCAGCCGGGCCGGTGCTCACCGGGAGCCGCGTGGATTCTGGGAACGCCACCCGGGACCGGATGGATCCTACGAATCCCAGCCGGGACCGGATGGATCCTACGAACCCCACCCGGGACCGGATGCATCCTGCGAACCCCAGCCGGGACAGCACCTGAGCAATGCCAGCCCTGCAAGGACCTGTGGCAATCGGCACCCGCAGCGATTCCGGACCCTGGATTCCCGTTGCTTTACCAAAAACTGCTCCTTTCTCCCCAAAAGAGCGCTGGGACTCGCGGGGAGGGGGGTGTGGGGATTAGAAACGGAGCCCTCCGCCTTGCAATAAAGTTTGGCCTTGAGACATCCTCTGATTTTAACCAAATCCATCGTGTTTAGCACCGGGAGCCACGCAGGGAGTGGGGATGTCCGAGGGAGGCTGGCTGGGACAGACCCTGCTTGGTCCCATCCCTCTAGCTTTGGTACGATCCATCCCAATCCTTGATAACCCAATTTTCAGCATTTCCTGCCCAAAACACACCCAGCTGTTGGACTGAGCCTCTCTCAGGTGTTTTGTGTTTGTCAGAGACGAGGCAAATCCTGCGTGGAAGAAACGGAAAAGAGCAGTGAGGGATGTTTTGTCCTCCAGCAGCTGCGTTTTCCTCAACAATCCCTGTCCTGGGGGGCTTAAACCTTCCCCAAATCCAGGTTTTAGGCACAGCAGCTCAACCATTGCTGTGAGAACAGAAAACAAAGTGGTGCCAGGTGGAAAATTATCCCAAAAAAGCTTCTAGGCAGGTGTAATCTTAATTATGCAGGTGAGTGCTCACTAAGGGTTTTTGAGGCTGGGTGTTTGAGTGGGTCATCTCTCTTGGGAGTTTTGGGGATGTGAGTGTCCTTATCATCTCCCCAGGAGGGGAGGGGGTTGGGCCTCACCTCTAGCGAGAGTTGAAAGGAACCCCAGACAATAGATATTTATTTTGGGGACTCTTTTACAGTATTTTAAAAAAATATTATAAAAGTCATTTGGCTCCTAAGGGATTCAGAAGCCTTTTGGAGCAGGGATGCCCCCGAGGCCAAGGCCTTGTCTGAATCATCAGCATCCCTGGTGAGGAGCAGCTTTTAGGCTATACAAACCCATCCACGCCTACAATGCACCGCGGGCTCGTTTGAAAACACCGAACGAACCCGGCAGAACCTCCGGCCACAGCTCAGATTTGCATTTTTCAATTTTTTATTTTGCATCCAGAACCGGGTTAAGCTTCAGTGTCTGCATCCCTGACGAGCATTCTCTGCTCCTGGCCCTGATTTGAGTTCAGAAATGCTACAGGAATGACCCCGC